ATTATTTAAATAAAAATTCTATTATTTAAAATTATAGTTATAGTTAAAATAGAGTGTGAATTACATATATAAAACTCTCTTATATCATAAATTCTTATATAAATTATTTAATATTAAAACTTTTTAACTTTACAATTGGTCAAATCTTTTATATCCTTCAATCTAATATGATGTAATACTGAATCAATTAGAAACCATAGAAAGCTATGGAGAAGTTATAACACAAGTGCTACGTAAATTATTTCAACATCGTCAAAATATCTATTAAGTAATTTTTTTATTTAAAAAATTGTCACTAAAGATCACAATAAGTGCGCATACAAATTTTACTGAAAGCCATCCGCCAAAAAAAACTATAAATTATTCTATTACGTATTCAATGACATCTACAATGATAGATTTACTGGTAGGTGTAGCTGCATAAAGACTGTCAACTGCTAAACAAGATGCTTTTGCAGTTGCCAGTTGCTAATGTGGACCAACGGCTTATGATCTCTTCCGAAAAACGGAGCTCAGTTTCTTTGCACGAAAGCTCCCTGCGTTAATTTCTCGTGCGGGGTGAGAGGTGCAGTTTGAAATATAAAATTCCTAGCTATTATCAGACGAACTCGAACCCGATTCCTCACGGTTACCAAGTCTAGCGCTTTACCACTAAACCACGCACTGCCACTCGCAAGTAATATTATATAAATATTATTATATGTTTAGAAATTTTGGAACTAAATAAACAAATATACATATATTACATCTCTCTACACTCTATAATGGAGAAATTACTATCTCTTTTACATCATTTGTGAAATTACTTAAAATTAAACAAAATTTATTTAGACTTAATTAAATTAAATCTGAATAATCTGATTAGATGAGTACACTTACAGTGAATATGGGATCTTGATTTTTAGCAGCAGTTTTATTGATATTTATGTTTAAATGTTTAGCAGTAATTTATGAAAATGTAAATTCTATATTTTACAATATTACTCGATAGCGTTACACGCTCGAGATCAATGCGCTTCTACTCTCGAATCGAGCAAGAGGACGACACCGTGTTGTTCCAGAGCAGTGATTCCGGTCAGCCGGAATAGCGGTACACGCTTGGCCGTACGTCTTCGTTCTCGAATTATTATGTTGCTTTCTGCGAGGTGCACAGTAGCACGCTTTGTCGCGAAAGCGGAAGAAACTTATACGCATCATGCACGAATCCATTTTTTAGTGCCATTTCGCGGCCTTTCTTCTTCGTCATACATCTATATTGTATATATATATATATATATAAATAAGACTTTACAAATAAGTTTTATTTCCGTAATTTACAATCTGTAAAATATAGAACGTGATTTAGTTATACCTATATATATATAAAGTCTTATTTTGCGAATTAAATTGCATAATGTTTATTTTATATATATTATAGAATGAGTTTCATCAACAGACAAATGTTTTCTTTCCAAATTTCGCGAAAGTATGACTGGCTTTCGAAAATAGTGTTTTGCATCTTTTTCGAAACGCTTAATAAAAGTTATTAGATTTGTTTCGTAGCTATATAAAAAAAATTGTTTACACATTTAATATTTGTTGTCGATAATTTTCGTCGAAGAGTAGCTCGAATGAACGGCAGTTCGCAGCTCGTGGCCTGTCGAGGGAGACCCGCAGAAATCATGCGCGTTTATGAACGTGCATGATTCCGTCGAAGCGCGCGAGCAGTGCAGCGCGGTGCAGCGACGCGATACAGCGTACCGCCGCCGCCGCAGCTGCGTCGGATAGTTGGTCGAGGCATGTGCGCCGAGTAACGGCTAATTGGCCACCTTTCCTCTCCGGGAGAGGAACCGTCTCTCTCATTTCGCTGTCCTAGCCGACGTGCCAGTTTTGTTCGTTCTGTCGTGCGGCTTATACCGAGTATAGTTGGAGCCCCGATGCCGCGTGAGAACACCATGGTGTCCTACCGGAGATTTTGTTAAAAACGACGTTTCTCTGTGAAATCGAGCACTATTTGCACCGTAAGTCATCGTCATTATAGTCTTTTTCTTCTTCTTTCTCTTTAATGGTAAACTGAAGCAAGATAATTCTGTGATATTTTTTGCAATTTACATAATAAGAATAGGCATTCATAAAACGGTAAACGCGCGCATTTATTACAGTTTTTGAAAAAACGTTATATATTATTTTAGTTCTGGACGCGGAAGAGAAATAATAAGAAATTACAAGGAGTAATTTTTATAATCGTGAACATTGTAAGTTTTGAGATATGATATCTTTGCTTCTCTATGATGGTCAGTCATAAATTCGTGTGCGAATTTGCAACCGCGAAAAGTGCCTCGCTCCGAATTGACCGCGAGTGATCGCCATGAAAGTGCATCGAAGGTGCAAAGGTGAAGGTGCACCGAGGTGCAAAGGTATACTTTTAATAAAAAGCAAATATATAAATAGCTGACTGACATTTATATCTGCGTCGCTAGTATCAAGCATACAATAATAAAAATTTGAATAAAAAGAAAGATTTTTAATTTTTATTTCAAGATAGACATTTCAGGTTCAATCGCGATGTCCTGTAATAATAATGTGAAATGTATATACATCTTTTTAGTGGTATGTACAATTATATCGTCAACTATACTTTTGCCTCTCGCGTAGTGTTTCTCAACTTCTTTATCAAATTCCACGAATTTTTGTTAAAATTTGCACATAACTTCTTTTACAGTCATATTTTCTTCCTTCATTGATTCTGAGCAATGCTGTCTAGAAACGAAATGCTCCTGATAGAAAACAGCTATGAAGAAATAAATAAGTTTAATGAAAAATGTTTTATTCAATTTTTTAAAATATACATTGAAGTTGAACAAAAACAAAAAATAAAAATATTAGAACAGTATTTTTAACATCTACATATTTAAATATTCGGAAAAGAAGAAAATAAAACAGCATTATTATTAAAATGGTTCAATTATCTCTTATAAGGAAAATTTATTCGCGATGAAGAGTTAAGATGGGTTAACGAGGAGATACTTTAGACGTGATAAGAGGGAGATTTTCCTTATACTTACTGTTAACGTGCATACTGCAGTTTAATCGTCCGACTAATCCATAGTTTCGCACACAAATGACGATTTGCGTCGAAAGGAAATTTTGTTCTAGTTATTCCGTTCTAGTAACAACCAGTGTTAACTTCGACCAGGTCATATCTTTGTAAAATTCGTCAACATAACATTTTAATTGTAACAATGGCACTGCATTATACTGCATTAATGTGAAATAGGATTGTCTATAAGATTTCGAAAAATTAAGGTTTTATTTTCTAATAATTTTTATAACATTTTATGTTAAGTAAAATTTTCATTGACTGCAACTTTTTACAGTAATTATTAAGTTTTTAACACTAAATTTAATAAGCAGCTCTGAAGTTTTAATCATATTAAAGTAGATTGTTCGATTAGAATACATTTTATAGTTAATTAATAAAATACGTTAATTCTTAATAATTCTAAAGTGTATGATGAAAATTTTTGCGTAGAAAAATTTTTTACCCGAAATATTTGCACTTTGTTTATAAATTTTACGTAAGTATATTGAATAAAATGAGCTGTCGATGTAACGGAATTCAAGCATGTGATATTAATAGCTTTTATATAAAAAGAGAAAATGTAAGTATCATTACTACTTAAAACAATAATAGTGTCGCTATCGGTTTTTGTAGATGATTTAATTCTCCTCGATACTAACTTGTTGCCTCCGGATATAAAGTGTTATTCGTTTGCGATATGCGTCAACGAGTAGGGAGACCAAGATACTAATTTACACGCGTAAGAAAGCCCAGAAACGTTCGAAGAGAAGGCGATTAATAATTAAAGTCACCAGCAATTGATGTTATAATTGCGTGTATCGCTAAGAACCGGTTTATAACATATGTTGTGATCGTTGATCACGAAAAGGAAACGGTATAGTGACGATTTATTGGTTCTTCTACTTAAGTCAGTTATTTAATGCATACTGTTTTGCAGCTGATGATGCATTTATACGTTGAAAAATATATGGTATGCAACCGTTATGTTGAAATAAGTGGCGTATCATGACACTCGAATAAAATAACAGTTAAAAAATAAAAATAATAGCAATTTGAACAGTAAATAAGTAAAGATACTTACACACAAATTTTATATAATATATATATGTGTGCATTAGGGTGTGTCATTTTGACTCACTTTAAGAGACTTTTTTTGTAGATCGTTAAATTTTCTACAAAAATATGTATTGATTATTTCATAATTTTTGATAGTCGATATGATACAAAATTCATAAGAAGCAAAAACAAGTTTTATAAAATTTATCAAACTTTAACTTTGAATATCTTTTGAACGGTTGAATTTATAAAAAAATGATAAGAGATCTTTTTTGTAGAGCGGTAAATTTACTACAAAAATCTATGTGGAGCAATGCTGTATTACTGTTTGTTAGATAGTTATAAAATTTTTTTTATCTTACTAAATGAAAAATAAAAAATCGCGATGAGCGACCTGTTAATATTAATATTAAGTGCTCAAACTTTAATAGGTATCTTATTTTACCTTTCTGCAAGTATATATGTTATTCGTGAAATGAAAAAAAAGTTGCTCCAAAATGACACACCCTAGTGTGCATATACATATATTTTAATTTAATTAAACATTATAATATTGTAATATCTGTAATCTGTTTCATGTACGCAATACGTTCATATATTTTTATTCATCAAAATATGCAAAAACGTTGATTATGTATTAATTAGAAATTAATTATATATTAGAATTATAACAAAATAAATACAATAATTAAAATCTAATAACAGATATGTAATATTTTAAAGTATAGGATATATTTTTCAGTTTTAATTAATGAAAATTATAACTGTATGATTATATCATTGATATTTAGTATAGCAATGTCTAAATTATTATTTAGATTTTCAATTATATTGCATGCAGATATTAATACGCTATTAATTATTATAATTATTTATGTTACAGGTCTCCGCGAATCGGAGGTCCTCTTTCGCAATCACTGGCTATGATTCCTCCAACTATGCACGGACATGAGTTTAATCAACCCTCGTCAAGGGTAGTTATGGTCCGTAAAACGGATCAAAGGACATTCAGCAAAGGAAGACGAGGTGGTGAGCCTCTTTTGGAAACTGTTACCAGGGAAACCGTTGAACTCTTTAATGGTGGTCGAGCCGAAAGGAAATACACTTCCGAAACGAGGGACATCGTTACACCGAAGTCTAGCAGGTTTGATGGTTTTCCAATTATTAGCGTTATAGATATACTAAAATAGTAGACTTCTTCTGTTACATTAATTATTTATGTTTATAAACGACATAAATTAACAAGACACCTTAAACTTAAATTAGATTGTGAAATACGATAACGTATTGAGTAATGTTTTACTAGAGAGATTTTGAAATATTATATTTTACTCAACGCAATAACTTTTATTATTAAAATATGTAAATTATTGTTCTTAATATTTAAAGAATATTATTAGCTTTTATACATATTGTTTAACATTTTTCATTCGCACTGTTTTAAATTTTAAAAATAAGTAAAAATTTATAAAAATTGATTACATATGTATTCATAACAAGAACAGGGTTTTAAAATTATTTTCTGGTACTATAGTTTAATAGACATTAACCTATCAATAAACATAATAAACAACCCTCGAAATACGTATAACAAGTAAAATTAAGATGTATTTTACGGTATATATCAAAGTTTGAAATTACATAGGTCGGCAAGTACCGATTTAGATATAATATGATAAATAGTTTTTCAATGATAATTAATAATTATATTTTGATTGTTATATATCATTGCTTCCTTTTTTGACTAAAAACATAAAAGCAGAAAAAAGTGAATTAAAGCAATTGCTATACGTGTATTGAAGCAAATGTATTATTTGTAAAATTATATTTGCAGAAAATGAAATTGATACTTTTCAAAAACTATATCGTGCGCACAAAATATATTAATATGATATAAGTATATTATAATTTATATTACAATTATAAAATGTGCAATATATAAAATTGAAATATATTGGAATATCGTATAAAAAGTAAACTTAAAATTTTATTTTGTCACTTAATTTTACATTAGAATTGATCTAAATATTAGAAGCAAATAGACAATTTAAAACAATACTGAAATAAATGCATGTTGTAGTATATTTATAACAAATTGATATTATATATATCTGTCATACTATTAGTCCTGCGTGTTAGCGAAATGTTTCTTTGTTGTACGTGATTGGAAGTGCATTTCCTTCTTACACAAACGTGTACCGGAAACTTGTTACATGGTTTGAAGTGGACAAAACTTTACCTGTCGTAAAATCAGCTGTCTCGCATTTCAGTCCCTTTCTCTTGGTTCGTATATATATGTACAGGGTGTTCCAAGTTTGCTGTCTTTTTCTTATTCTATCTCTAGAAATTTTATTTGCAATTAATAGGTAAAAATTAAAATATTAAAGCTTAAACTAATAATAGACGATAGTTTTTTCCGAATCTTAAGAAAAATTCAATATTAATATAGGACAGTAAACTCTTGATATATACATCTGTATTCTATGGAAAGGTATTCCGAGAGAAACCGCAAACCGCAAGTTTTCAATTATCTCGTATGCTAAAAGCGGAAGAGCGACTTGTTCTTTCGTTTCGGTTAATCTTAAAGCCTACGTGCGAAGAATCTGTGAAATGTCGTATGACATTTAGCAGGTTCTCTACATTCTTACGGAGCAATTAATTTCTCTCAGCACTCTCTCGCGAGTAATGTTGGGAATCGAGACAACTTTGGTTTTCAATAGAATGTAGGATTACATAATGCGATACATCACCGAAGAAACCTATGCTTTTAAGAATACAATTTTTGTACACAAAACGTTATATAAAAGAATTACTATAACTTATCAATTGATTCTTTGATCAATTTGGCATTTTTTACAAATATTTAATTAAGATCATGTTTTATTTTTTAATGTTATATTATTTTTATATTATTCTTTAGTATTATATTGAGTATACCTAAAAATAGAATAGAATTTTATTAGAATTCTAATAAAATAACTATACGTGAAGTTAAATGAGAGAGAAAGATAATTTTCTGTTGATTACTTGTTTGTTTAATGTTGAAAATGCTTATATTTTCAACAATATTTCCACGTTGCTAAGATTCATAATTCAAAGAATAATCAATAATGTAATATAATATTTGACAGATAACTCTATTATTGCCTTAAACTTTCGGAGTTTTCGTCATTATCATTGTCGAGCATTAAGCTCTCCGAAGTTTATGAAATTTTATCGTGAATTTTTGAATGGTCTTATTTCTAACATTATTTACACGAGAAGTGAGAATACATATACAATTTAACATTTCTCTAGTGTAAGTCGTTGCTCTTGTAGTATGCCATCGCTCAGCGTGCACGGAACGAAAAAGAAGGTGGTCGGTTTTGTCGATCAAGTGTCACCTGACAGGTATATTGCCTATGCGGCACAAACTTGCAGTTTAACCAAATCCCGATTCCAGTGAAGCGAGAGTAAGCATGTGAAAGACAGACTTGCCGCGAACACGACACCGATAGCATTTTGCCAGTGTGTTTTGTCGCTTATTGTCAGATGTTTTCTGAAACTTCACTAGGATCGGTAAGTGGTCCTAGTTCACTAGCGTAGGTGGCACATAGAAAGCAGAGCGACAGCTGAAAGTTCGCGTGCTTACGATACGTTCAAACAAGTCGCAAGAAGATGGCAATTCTGTAAGGATACTGTAAATTACCGGCTTTCACGATAGCGTAACAGGATGATAATGTTCGTTAGCCAGGAATGAGATTTATCCGTTGCTGAGTTAAATTGAAAGTATGATCGAGAATCTTTTGGAGGCTGTAAAATATATTATAGGTATGCGCGTTTTTCTTTATATTATTATTATTTTTATTGATACCTCTCTTATTTGGTAATAGTAGTTTTCAAATCAATATGTTATCATTTGTAATTTTTAAATTTGGTAGGTATAATATTTGGTGTAACTCTTATTAACAATTATCTTAAGAAAATAGTTTTTTATCATAAGACAAATTGAAAATATGAAAATGCTGTACACAATCGCATACAAAGTTGCGCAGGCAAAATATATATTATTTACTTTGATTTATAATTAAGATAGGCTTCTAATCTGTATTAGTATAATTTTTTAAGAGAGCATATAATTTTATCCTAATTAGAATTTATAAATGATTTTGGGTAGTTTTGTTTAAATATGGTTAAAATTATATAGCGCCATTTGTACATATGCTGTCAAGTTTGTGAGAAGAAATTCACTTGGATCATTTACATAAAAGATTAATCGCTGCGAGGTTCGTATTGTCGGTATTAAATTCTTATCGAAGAGGAATCGTTGCTTGACGTACCCGTATGCAATTTCGCCCACGCAAGCGGCGTGGTCGGGAAAAACTTTCGTGCAACTCGTTTGAATGAGTAAAACACAATGCTATAAGGTATAAAAATGAGATGGAAGAAATATGCAATAAAATACTGCATGCCTTAAGTTCAACAAGCGATTGAATGTTACACATTTTTGTGAATCATATCTCAAAGGCATATAACAAAGAACCTTATTCTTATCTTATTCTTACCTAATTTAAATATTTTTATCAATATTTTGAGAATTATTCATAAAACATCGTTTAATCTAAAAAATTACAAGAACAAGACTTTATTGTATTTAAGTAAAAATTAGTTCAAAACTTTAAAAAATATTTTATTAACATTTTATTATAAAATATAAATAAGTGCTGTATTTTATTGTAGTCAGGCTCTTATAGCATTTTGAAGACTTACAATTGTCTCCTTCCTCTGGGCGCGATATAACAAAAAAAAAGACAACCTTTCTTTTGCGGTGACCGTGGCCGTGGACGCGTCGCAAAGGCTCGTAGGAAGAAGGAAGTACGAGCCGTGCTCGCATAAAGGCGTATTGTGACGATATACGTAGATGAGCACGATGAAGTGTTCGCTATTTCGCGTGATCTGTAACGGGGTCCAGTAAAGACTTTGGAATTTTCAGCTCTTTCTTGGCTTTCTGATGTAACATCTTTCGGCTGAATACCGAAATTGTTCGAATTTTTAATAAAATTTATTTAACCGTTTAAAGCAAAGCGGTTTTCTTACATTTAAATGTTTGATTCACATGCATAAATGATAGAAAATAATGTTAATTAATATTGGTTAATTTTTTTATAATATATAAGTAAGTGGATATTCTCTCATTACACTTTGTTTTACATAAATGCACATAGCTATTCAGTTAAAATTTATATCTAATTAAATCTTCTCGCGTGCGCCAGACTTTTCTAAAAACTTTTTAAGATTTATATTTTAAGCAGTTTCTGTTCTAAATATGTTCTTACGCCATTTGGTGTTCTGTGCGTGCATTCGTCAATAAACAGATGTCAGATTGCGAATTACTTGAAACCTGTTAAACGCACATAAAATATTCTCAGAACTTTCTGTTCAGAATATGGCTACTTAATATAAACATAATAATAAATAAATAGGTTCAATTCGACGAATAATATCTGCAAGCTTCTGAAAACGTACCTATCTTTAAATCGAGATTGGCAAAATTATACAACATAATTCACAACGATCGTTTTCTGCGGTGCATCCGTATGCATCCTAATGCGAAGTTAACTACACAGTCCGGCAAAATTGCTATTCATTAGTCAATGTGCAATTTTGCATGGAACGATCATGGATTTGCATTATAAGTGTATAATGACTGGATATCTACGTCGTCGTGGGGATTGTTTACATGGGCAAACACAGTATTCAGCCTGTCGTAAAATATTTTAGATTTTAGAGAACTAGATTAGAGACACCGTTGTAATTACACAGTGCTCTTAGATACCTTAATTCATGTTCAATCGCTTTGATTCATTGCACATGCCATAATGGTTCGGCATAATTTCATCGGCTTTCCTGCTTGCTCTCATTTCATCGAGATACAAAAGGACAGACTGTTTGTAATCTTGTACCTTACAAGTATTATATTTATGCTTTATGTATTAACGCAAATAATTTATGCCAATAAAAAAAAGAAACATATTGATCGTAATAGTAGATTGTTGATTTAAAAATAATTGAATAATATTTGTTTCATATAATTCGCGTTTTTGAAAAAAATTATCAAAAAAGTAACGATATTTCTTAAACAAGCAGTAATGTAATAAAATAAAAATTTACAATTAAAAATAAGGCATATAATTTTAAATTGTGATTTATTACACTTTTGTTATAAAAATATTTATATTATTTACATAATCCTTTTGATACATTTCGATTCACGAAACTCAATATCAATTTAATGTCAATGTCATCACTTATCACTGGGTTACAGGATCAGAGAAGAAGATGCAAATTACATAACTAATTAAAGTAAACTAGTAAAAATTTTAATTAAATTTTTTTTATTTTAGAATTCTTAGATTTTTTACACTATATGATAATATATTTTATTATACTTATAATAATTTAAAATAATCTTTGATTTGGCTACTAGGCTTATTGTAAAAAAAATTTACGTACTTTTATATATTTCAACAAATACTATTTATTACTTATTTAAGTTTTGTTATTTTAATAAAAATTCCTTTTAAAACCAATTTTTTAATATTTTATGATGAATTAATTTTCCTTTTGATAATTAAATTAATGAAGTTATAATAATATCTATTTATTTTTATGTGTATTAGTATTATGTGTATTGTTTCATACAATTTTTTTTATTATTTGTATTATATCTTCAATTGATTTTAAGAATATCTGAGTTGTGTACGTGTATTTATGTGATACTATTAACCTATAAGTGATCACAAATCTGTATACCTATTTCATGTACTTTACATGTTGTGTCATGTACTTCACATATATTTCAAAAGTTATTTTACTCTTAATTATAAATAACTACTGTCAAAACAATTTTAACGATTTTCTTTTGTATATAATTTCTATAGAGCTCCTAAAATAGCTAAGTTAATTGTACAGAAATTCTTAAAGCACATTTAATCCAAATAAAATTCACATTCGCTCATATGAAAGCTTCTAGTGCAAAGGATTTCAATAAATTCGATCTGCTTATTTAAAGCGTTCAGTGTTCATGCGTCACTATGTTGTCTGGAGCAAAAAGGAGCGCTATGTATTTCTTCGTACACCGTGTAATCGGTCTACTTTCAGGTCGAGGACAGACTCGGTAAGATCGAAGTCTCCGTTGACGGCATCGCCAGCATCACCGGGTCCATTGTCGAATTCCTTGCACGGCAGTTTCCACGGCAGTCTAGGAAGCGATGGCATGTCTTGCAGCAGCGCTAGATCTTCCTCGGCTTCTCCCGATTCCGCAAGATATTCGTCCTCACAGGTATTGACATCTATTGCAATGTATTAGCCATGCACTAATATTCCGAAGAGCCAAAAACGCAAATTTAGTGAAAATTTAAAGTTACAAAAATTCGAGATAAACGAAATATGCAGAGTTTTAAAATAATTTCAAGGGACGAAGAAACCACACAATGTTCCACGATTTTAAAATTCTAGTCTTGAAAATTTTTATTTCAAATTTTTATTATCTAAACTCTCAAGATTATATTATGTAAACTCTCGCAAAAGAGAAAAATCTAAAAAGTTAAAGTCTGAAAAACTTAAAAGCAATAATATTTATAGACGGTCTAGCACACGTTAAGACGACAGAAATCTTCTTAGTATATCTTCACATAAATGCACAACGCAAACGCTTACGTTGCGTATAAATAAAGGAAAGATAGTATCACGATGCAAATTGCAACGCAACGTAATAAGCAAATAGATCGTGCTACTTATTGTACTACGTGATCTAAACGCGTCTAAAGTGTTATACTTTGTAAGAGTCTAGATTTACATCATAAATAAATTTTCTTTCTCGGGAAGATAAATCGCGTTGCGATAAGAAGCCGTCTATGTAGAAATAAATATAGTTGTTTCTGTCAGATTCTTGATAATTTTTTTGTTAACAATTTTATCGGATTAGCAATACTGGATGAGTCTAAAAAGGAATCGACATATTTATCTATTGTACGTAAGAAGATGTTCATATATACATATAATTAGAGGCAAATATCCTAATTGATTTGTAAACCCATATAGACTATCTCTTCGGTAGCTAATTTTTCATCAATCGATCTACCTGTAATATCTCTTTATGTTAAGAGTCTTTTGGTTTCAACCTACTTGGTAAATTAGCCAGTTGGAAAGCGTAACTCTTTGACTTTGCGTGCAGTGTGAAAGGAGCCTAAACGTCATGTGCTTTGCGGAAAAGTGCATTGCCACCCGCGATGACTCAGGATCGCTCCTTTTTCGAGAGTCACCGTTTACACTGCTCGGATGACCGGTGGATCATTCGGATACGATCGTCCGGCGATCTCGCGCGATGACTATTATAATCCGTCAAAGGTTCAAATTGCACTTCGCGCGTTTGCGGAACCAATTTTTCCGCTCTATTTTCCACGCGCGCGTGTCGTCGCGTTCTCATTCGCTGGACTTGTTCTTCATATACGCGCGGGATGTTTTTGCACTTACGCTAATGGCCTTGCTCACAAAACGGCCAGACGATTTGTAGCGCGAACTGATGTATATTCATCAAAGAGCGAGCTGAATAACCGCTAAGTTTTCAGCCGACTATCTGGCACTAATAACTAGCAATTGTAGGAACTTAAATTGTTTGAATTTTGTTTAAGCTAGCAGTTTCTCCTCCTTTCGTTTCTTCTACAAATGCTCTATTTATATATATATATATATATATATAAGTGTCTATTTTATATTTTTTTTAAAGAAATTTTTAAACATTATTCGGCATCACGGTCTTATGTTATTTGATCGTCCAATATTGGTAATTTTTTTTATCCAATTTATTAAGTCACCGCCTACGTGCAAATTATAGGCAATTAAACAGGTGATTGTCGAGAAACTCTGAAACTATCGTCAGTCTGAGTTCCACGATAATTATCGCTGTTTTCGATTGCGATCTCTAATTTAATCATCGGAGTTATATATTTTAAAAAGTTATTTCTTCATTATTTATACCTTAGTCATTTACTACACTCGGTAAATTTTCTCAGCAAGTAAGAGAAATTTAACGAGCGGTCACGCAAACGGAAGTGCGAATAGAAGTTTATCTATGGTCATCCTAATCGCGTAGCAGATAATTGTGATCCTATAGGACGATGGGAAATCGTTTCTGCCGGTCAGTTTTTTCCTGTAGATGGTTTCGCGTTTAAGTTATTAAGGACACTGGCTTTTATCATTTATATCGTTGTATTGCTTACCATGCATTTGCTGCGTTGGCATTGTACTCAATTCGCAATTAAACAATAACATTTGCATTTTTTTCTGATTTTTTGAAGTCCTCAAAATCTTGTGGGGAAGATATATATAATAATACTATTGATATATTGATAAATATTGTATAATTAAAAAAAAATGAATTTTTCACATTTACAAATGTTTAAATTTTAAACCTTTACATTTTAAACCTAAGATATAAACAAATTTAATCTAAAGCTTTAATGCAATGTTTGAAAAATGCAAAACGTAGTTTGATTATAATAAAATGTAATTTATGCCTAACTATGATCTTTGTATATATACTCATAGATTTTACTAACAAATCTGCGGATTTATTATTTGATCTTAATCCGTTATATGATGCTCTCTCTCTATATGTTGTAGATAACAAAGATTGATACGCGTAAACCGTCTGTGCGCAGATCGGGACCACCGAAGGAATTTATTAACGTCTGCCTCGATACGCATAATTTCTACCGATCGCGGCATGGAGTACCGCCGTTACGACTCAGCAAGCAGGTTACTAAGAAAGTCGATCTTTCTTTTGCAATAAAATCGTAATAAAGTCGCAGCCCTCACTGTGCAACTTCCGAGAAACGAGGAAACTTGATTTTTTTATGCTTGCTTCGTTCTCGGAAGCGTGGAGGGATCTCTGCTGACAACTTTAACGGGAAACGATAAATAACGATGTTGGTTTAATTTTAGCTGTGCAAGACAAGTCAAGACTGGGCTAATATATTGGCTGCTAGAGGTAGATTAGAACACAGGGCGAACATTGACTATGGAGAGAATCTCTATTGCATGTGGAGCTCCAATCCAAAGACTATTGTCGGAGGCGAAGAACCGGTGAATGAATGGTAAAGTTAATTATTGCATATATATTTATTGTTAATGTATATATTATGTTATGTTATATATATGTTTATATAATATATTATATATCATATTACATATTATATTATGGTTGCCACATTATATTATAATATTGAAGTCATATTTAAAATAATTAATATATAATGATGGAAAAAAATATTGTTCTTCTTTAATATATCTACATTTTCATCAACAAAAGATAAAAATCTATTAATTTTTAAATTATTATTTTAAGTATTTAATTACATTTTATTCATGTTGAATTGCCTGACGTAGTCAACTGATTTTTGTATTTAAAACTAACAGATTGAAATTTTTGTGCAGAATATATTTAATACATATAAATCTGCATCACAGATAAATTTTTATTAATATAATATAAGATAATTATATTGTTCTTATTTAAATATAATATGTGGGAATTTTTACCTGTTGTAGGTATGCTGAAGAAGCTCAGCATCAATACGGAAAGGAGCCTACAACACTGAAGACTGGTCATTTTACACAAGTGATCTGGAGGGACAGTACTGAGTTAGGGGTGGGAATGGCTAGAAATCGAAATGGCGAGGTTTATGTTGTCTGTAATTACAATCCCGCTGGGAATTTCTTAGGCAGTTTCACAGACAATGTTCTTCCACCCGTGGATCCTGCAAAACGGATTAATTTTACCGACTTAAAACAACACTATATAAACGAGCAAACGTGGCGGCAAGAAGCATTATTGGTTCATAATGAATATCGAAGAAAACATCGAGTACCAGATTTAAGATTAAGTCCGGAATTAACAGCCGCTGCTAAGGTAATATTTCGGAATATACAATATTATTATAAATTTTATAATTTTATCTGCAATGTATTTTAAATACAACTGACCAAAAATTGTAGCAAATAGCGTAAAAATCAGATGTTATGCATGTTTATTTATCCGTAGGCCTGGGCAAACACGTTGCTAAACACAAATAAACTGATACCTCAATCGTCGTCTCCGTACGGCGAAAACATTTATTCGATGCAGTGTTCCGATCCTAAACTGATCGTTTCTGCACGTGAAGTCATATCAAAGTGGTATTCCGAGAAGAAAGAACATAAATTTGGCATTGAGCCGAAAGTTCTCAACACATGTACGTATCGTATTATTTTCATGTATTTTAATATTATCTCAAGTTCAATAACAAAATAGGAAAAAAAATTAATGGAATGGAAATATTATATATAAAACAGAAATTATACAAAACAAATAAAAAAATCAATTAAAAAAAAAAAATTAATTGATTCAATTTCATATTTATTTTGCTATAATAAAATTTATAATATTTATCGTAATTATATATATTAACTTATTTAACAATTTTTTATATTGTAAGAAATAAAATGTTTAAAAAACTTAAAAATTGTGACAAAATTATAATTAAAATATGCTCGCAATAATAGTATTTATTTTTATAGGCCATTTTACGCAAATTGTCTGGAAAAACACAACCGAAATGGGTATTGCTATGGCTAAACGGGATGGTACATGTGTCGTGGTAGCATGTTACCATCCGAGAGGTAATATAGTAGGACAATTCACTGAAAATGTACTAAAGCCTATAAAGAGCGTTTGTTAGCCGGACTCATTTCTATCGATAATGTATTTAAATCCTGTATTTATGTATTGTGCAGAAGAACGAGGTATACGCGTAGTAAATGTACTGTATATACACTTGTGCATATTATACGTATAATAAACATTCCACGTACACATATTTATAACTTCTTGACTTTATTATTTTCAGTATCCTCTATCTTCAGCAAATAGTAATAAGAAGTTAATTTTTAAAATAAAATAATAGATAATCTGTCAGAAGTTAAAATAATTATCTGCCTTAAATTGAGCTTTCAACATAAATATATATTATTATGATAAAATTTTTAATTTAATATAATTTTATAAATATAATTTTACAAAAGAAGTGAAAGGGAAAGAATGTTTTATAAACGGAATGAAAGCGGTAGAGAAGAAAAAATCAAATAAATATTTTATGCATTATAATATTAAATTCTATATACTCAATCTAAAAAAATTATTAATTAGTAAAAATTTAGTTATTAATATTAATTATTAAATAAATAAATTTTGCACAAAAACATTAGCGGTAATTCTGATTATTATAACATAATTACCAAGATAGAACTTTTTTTAATAACAGATACAGATATTATCGAAAAACGCTCTCTTCACTGCTTTATAATAATTTATTTATAATAAATTTACATCGCACGCATCGCGTTACAACGTCGCATATTGTATATCTTTTTTTATGTATACATATAGATACACATTCTCTTTCTTTCTCTTTTTCTTTTTCTCTCTGCTTTCTGCTTTTATTATTTTACATTACGTACAACCGTTTACAATTGTATTTGTGGTCGAGGAATGCTTAATTATTTAAATCTTATTGTAAAAACCAGCTGGACACTTCTGTAAGACTCACGTCATTCGAAGAGAGCTCATTCGAAGTGCACCAAGCTCTTGCTTAGACTTTCGAAGGAACTTGTGTGATATCTGGTGCAACCGCGAGAAAATACATGCGCCTCTCTTCAAGTTGGAAAACAAATTCGCGCTTTTAAATATGGTCACTTCTAATCAGTAAACTAGATATAGTATGGCAAAATAATCATAGTTAAGACGCGTAAGAAAGTGAATAAATATTATTATAAAAACGATGTAATTTAATCACTTTTTGAAAACAAAACACGTATTTATCTTTATTTCAATTTGTTAATATGTGATTAATTTTAAGCATATCTTTAAAAACAAGTGAACACGCTGCATAAAATATTTGCCTAAATATTGATAAAAAAGTATATTCATTAAAATTAAACATACGTCGTTACAATCATGCGAGAATCGTGAGAGAAAAGAATAATGGTCCGCATTTTCACCATATATTTATTATTAAACTACTATCTAATTAATTGTTGAGTGATTATTTGATTTTCATGATATATTGATTAAAGGCGATATGGATGTTAAGTGAGCAGTGTCAGGAATTCAGTGTCAGAGATAATATAATCAATCTAAATACCGCATTAAAAGGAGAAAATACGAACTAAATCATGTATGGCTGTAGGAGATATATTAAAATTATCAGAAGAATCAGGTTAGCATAAATACTATTTTGCGAAAAGTTAAAATTTGAAAACGTTCAGAAAACTTACGGATGTACGCTCGATGACGTACTCTCGCGTTATAAAGGCACGAGAACTTTGACAAGCGATTTTATAAACATTAAGAAAAAACTTGTGCTCTTCGAGTTTTACATCACGAATGTGGGACATAATTTCTATAACATCAACACAGCCTTAAATTCCAAACGTGAGTAAAAATTGTCATAAAATTGTTAAGCTCTAACGATGAAAAAGAAATATAATTATTGATGAGTATGGACATTGATTATAGTATTTAAATTGAACGAGAAAAATGAATATCATAATAATATAGGATTTTGTCTATTATTAACCCTTAGTCTGTAAACGTTTTTTTGGCACCTGTAGTCTGTAAACCTGGGTCGTTTTTGTCCTGACGTTTTTTTTAAGTGTTAAAGTGTTACAAAAAATCTAAAAAAATTTATGAAGGTAATTCAAACCTTCAATTTGAAGTATCAATCATAAAATTATAAACAATTTAATTTTTTCACATAATTTGTATTAAAAAAATGGAGCAACTAGAAAAATCTAGGGGTAAAATCATTTGTTTACTCAAAAAATCATAACTTTAAGACAAATAAAGATATCGAAATGAATAAAAAAAGAAATTGAAGGGGAAGAGTGTAGTTTTCATAAAAAAAATATTGCATGCAATTATTTTGAAATTAAATGCTTAAGTTTGCGACCTCAAAATTGCCAACAATTAGCCCCAAATTTCGTAGTAAAAACAGCAATAAATATATAATAATTCAAAAATTAGTAATAAAATTAATAAGAAGTCAATAGTTAAGGGTCACATAATTCTTGTCCTCGCGAGGACGCAATATTTGAGAAACATCTTCGTCCGACCGTTGCGCCATTTCCTAGAAAAACTAAACAAAAATATTTTTGTAATTTTTTTTCGCAGTCAGATGTTTTTGTGACACTTTTACGGACACATTGAATACTTTAAAACGGAAAAACGAAAAAAAATTATTTACGGTTTTGACTAACGTTGACTGTAAAGATGGGTCGTTTTCGTCCGGAGAAGAATTCAAGTGTCTGCTGCGACGGCCGGAGAAAGACTGGCGCCTTGAAACTCGGTACTCGGTAAGCGGGTTCTCGGGGAGCATAACTTTTTTTACGGATGCACAGTGGTGCTTTCTCTACCCGTTTTCAAAAGTTACAACTACATTTGATTTTCGCCCGGACGAAAACGACCCAGGTTTACAGACTAAGGGTTAAGAACTTTTATGAAAATTTTGCTACGGGAAAGAAATATAATAAACAATATATTCCCTATATAAATAATCGAGTTATTACAGATTAATTAATTACCAATTCTATATACACGCTATCAGTAAAAGTTATATTTTTAAATACAAATTTTATCTTTATTCTCGCGCGGATTTTACATCTTTCAATATAAATTGAGATGTGATGAGTATATTTCGAATAGTGTCAAATCAAATGCAATGTTTTGTTTTCCGAAAAATCAAACACGCGTTGCACGCACGATAAATCGTTGTACTTATCCTATCCTGTGCATGAATTATATGCGCAAGTCCAATTTTTGTATATTGTAAGAAGGGTTTCATGCAAAGTTTCGCGGAATCGATCGCGCCCTCATTCGAGACGTAGATTCGAACAATCTTCCTCGAAAGCAGCAAACACCTTGCGAGAGATTGCCGTGACTTTGCCGCATTAAATATATTGTAACGTGATACTATATAGATTATTGAATTCAGCTATGAAGAGTCAGGTCACATCATATTCGGTTCCTATAATTGTAGGGGAGACCGGGGCTAAAACGTCTACGGGGTAAATACGTCTAATCAAATATCTCGGAACCTGTATATTGTGCGAACTCGCTATTACCATTGTAAACGCTGCTTATGGTACCCATGTAACCAACGGAGTTTCGGCAGGTTACCTGCCGTGTTACCTGCCAAGTAGTACAGCAAATCACAATAAAGTCAAAATGACTGCAAAATGACGATTTTTGATCATTTTACCATCATTTTACCATTATTTTGACGTCATTTTGATTTTATTGTGACTTGCTGTGCTACTTAGGATTTTTACGAGAGCAAACGTGTTTTCGGAAGGTAAAAGTGAAATTTTCTGCGCGTGGAAATTTTATAATATCTGCAATAATATTTGCTCTCCAAATCTCGAGGTACGTGATTATAAAGAGTAATGCATGCTGAACACGAATCCGGTGTAGTTTTTTCATTTTCGTTGATGTCTAATATTTCGTGGGCGATCAAACCTAAAACTTGTGTTTGGGGCTAATCCGTCTGTAAGCACCCGGGACTAATCCGTCTGTTTCGTCACTGTGGCGCGCCGGGCGCACGACTTCAGCTCACGGCGATTTCAGGTTAGGTTTCCCTCAAGCGTGAGGGCTCAGTCACAATGAGAGGAATAAGGAATAAGCTAAAGGAATAAGGAACAAGGGAATGTCGCACCTCACTTCAGTACACGTACATTAAAGTGAGATGCAATATGCCTTATTCCTAATTCCTTTATCGTATTCCTTATTCCTCTTATTGTGACTGAGCCTTAATTCTGTCTTCCCTTGCACGTGCATCAGTTTATATAGGAGGAAAATGGTACGCACGTATCGTCGCAAAACGGGTGTTTTGGCCGACCAAAAAGATGGCGGACCGTTGTTTTCGAGATCTCTCGCGCTCACGGCACGTCGGCGAGATACGGCGAGGCACGGCTCTGAGATTCCGCGATTTCCGCGCGAGAGTTGACATGCCGCGCGCGTGGTAGATCGTCCCGGCCGCGGTAGATCGTCGTTGTTGGTCGTTGTGTCAGTATCAGTGTAGTGGTGGTGGTGTCGATGGTGGTGGTCGTCGTCGTCGTGGTGGCGGTGGTGGTCGTGGCCGTCGTCGTCGTCGTCGTCGCCGTCGTCGTCGTCGTCGTCGTCGTCGTCGTCGTCGTCGTCGTCGTCGCCGTCGCCGTCGCCGTCGCCGTCGCCGTCGCCGTCGCCGTCGTCGTCGTCGTCGTCAGGATCTGTATTCACGTGCCTTAATTGTTTTATGGAATAGGTAAAACAATTATTCTTTAATAATGTTTCGCATAACAGTTTCAAATAAATTTTTATATTTTTCTCTTCAAAAACAATTATTAAAATGTATCCTATCATTTTTCAGGATTAGACGTATATGTATTGAAAATGTAGTGTGACGGTTTAACCCCGGGGGGTAGACGGTTTAGCCCCGGCATTTTTGAGATTTCAATTTTTGCACCGTTGTCGTTTTTGCTCTATATCGGTTAAACAAAGCGACGTAGACAAAAATTTCCTATATAAATTTTGTAGGTTCACTCTTTACAGAGTGGTATACAATATTTAACTTAAATTATTTATTTTGTTATTAAAAATCGGCACTGAAAAAATCCAGACGGTCTAGCCCCGGTCTCCCCTATATATATTCTCCAAATAATCGTTTTACTTGCTCTCTGGTAATGTCGTAAGGATACGTGAACTTCGATGCATCCCTAGATTTAAATTTATTTCTGCAATTTTACAATGTTAATTTTCCTATCAAAACCAATCAACACCTTTCCCACTTAAACAAAAGAAGTTTATATTCCATTACATTGTGTAATTTGAAAGTATTTTTAAATTCAATTGAAACTTTTTTTTTAAGAGAAGGAAAAAGGGTTTCAAGGGAGAGTCTCGGAAACTTGAGCAATAAACTTTTAATTAGAAATAGGAGGCTCTGTAACATGATAAATGACGTTATTTTTGTCCTTACTAATAATTTTAAGATAAAAGCGTGTCAAAACGATAATTCGACTGTATACTTGGGCGGCCTTCTCTCTGTTAATACGTTCCTCGGTAAAATTATTCAAAATTGCCGAGCTTCTCTAAGTTGATTATTGTTTAAAATGCGATTATCGTGTTCCTCATATTTGGAATGCAGAAATCTGTTTTATTTACTATATAAAAAATCCTTCATTATATTTTTCTCTGAAAGATAATTCGCTCATGATATCTATGTATAAAAGTCTATACGAGATACTGTCGCCGATGAAGGAATCTGCGCTAATCGAAGAGAAAAAAGAGTGATACAGAGAAAATAATTTGACTAAATATTTAAACACGCCTGGACGCCGACTAGATATTGAAAATGGCCGATTTTACTTCTATCAAATAGTAGAATGACGAAAATGCGATAATTCAATGTATATGATACGATAATTTTGACATTCTCAATCGGATGTGAAGCAAGCCCGAGAGAAAAGAGACATGACGCATTACTTATTATATCTTACATTTTGATTTTGTATAGAGCGCATTCAAGATTTGGCTCATATCTCATCTCGACTGAATGAATTATCGTATTATTTTGACGTTAGAACAAATGGCTAATTTATTCCACGAACCGACTTTTCAGCTTTCGATTTTGTGCTTTGCGCTCTTGAAAATATTTAATTTTTGTTTTAATTTTTAATTGTTATAATTAAATTAAATTCAAATGATTATAGTTATACTATGTAATATATCGAGTGGACAACACAATTTCTTTTTTAATCTGTAAAAAAGTAAGGCATTTAAAAAATTAATATAATAAAAATTTATTTTATTTTATAATTAGTTAATCATGGATTAAATAATAAAAATCAAACAATATTTAATTAATAATTTTTAATATTAATTATAATTAAACAAATATTTTCTTTATTGTTGTGATTATTATTTTATACAATTATCATTTGCGTTGCAAACGTTTAACGTTCTATTAGAATGCTTATACATGTTGGAAATTAATAAAATAGAAATAGTAATCTAAAGAAGTTAGAAAATTGTTTCGTGGAATAAATTTTTGTCCGCGCATTTAATAGCACCGAATTGACTAGGTTTAATGAAAGCAAGCAGGTAGTCGATAAAATGACTCGATTGGTCGAAGAAAAGTGTAAATTGGTCAACGAACGATTGCATTTGGCTGTGAGCGTCACATTGACGGCGCCACATCAAAGATTAGATCCTATTGTGACCCGTTGCACCAATCTGGCTAACTGTAGTGTATTTTATATCTTGCCCAGACAACACTTTATCATTTATCTTTCAAGTACTTTTTTAAAATCTTTCGGACATTCTTTAATTTTTTATAAATTCGGTATTCTATCCTATTAACAGCAGCATACGATAATATGGCAATCTAGATAAAAATCAGAAAAACGTCGTTCACAGTTAGATAACTATAATCCAGTCGGTGCAACTTGTCTTGAGTCGCGAATGACGATTCGAATTCAACTAACTAATTGTACGAATTGCTGAATTATCAAGCAAGAACAATTGCATTCACTCGCTAACGATAACTGACATTTGGGACAATACCCACGGTACACGGAAACTAATACGAGAGTAAATTAAGTAGAAGAAGAAGAAGAAGGTAAAGTAATATATAGTAGTAATAGTTTTCGTGCGATTCATTTGCGATCGATTCTCGTCTATCACATAATTTTTATGATACAATTCTTGTTTATATTGGTTTGAAATATCGGCCGTAAATCTCGGCGTCGTCACGAAGGTCGACAATCGTCCTGCGATTCGATATTAAAATCCAGTGACGATTTATTAGCCACGCGAAGGGTCATGATATAATATACGCGCGTATTTTAAGCACTTAAATATTTCTAAAATACTCTTCTTCCTATTTACGTAGGATATAATAATGATTTCCACGTGTGCGGCACTCTCGCGTGATATGAATAAAATGGTTATACATCGTATCTCTACAATATATATATAATAGACTCTTTTTTTTCTCGCCGTAAATTTTCTCTCTATTATAAAATTATTCACGCTCGACCGCTGAGCGCGACGCTAGGTAAGAATCGAGGAGTACGTTATAGAACATTCCTGTTGTATTCTCGTTTCGTATTTCGAGAATGTACGAAGTAGACGACGGACAAGCATATTTATTATAAATCATGATTTTAGTTTAGAAATTACTAATTGTAAATAATATAATTATATAAATTAAGAAATTAATTTTTTAATTAACTCTAGAACGCCACACTATAAGGTGTACCATGCTTGTTATTGAAATGCGTTTCTATATATCGTTTTTATGTAATAAAAGATAAAGGGGATGTAATTAGAGGGTAAAAAATTTCTATTTCCCTTTTATAACTTTCCATGCTGCACAACCTTCTCAGTTTAGTTAGTTTGGTAAATGTCGGCCGGGGACGCCATTGAAATTAGCATTGTATATGCTACATCAAGATTAGGTATTATTTTTTTAAAGAAATAATTGTTTCCACTTTTTGAAGAGTCATTAATTGATAGTTGAAAATAGCTTGGTGCAATACACTCACAATCAGTGAAATCGGGACTCGCAAGCGTTCTAGGGTTAATTTAGTTTCTTTCTCTCGTCAAAGAAAAACATAAAAAAAAAACATGAAAAATAAACACAATTTACAATTTCCAACTTAAACAAAGCATTTTTCAAATTCCAAACTAATTCCATAAATAAAAAAATGATATTAATTCGCAGTATAATAATTCGTATTTGTAATTGTACGCTTAAATCGCAGGTGATTCAAAATATATGCTCGTCAGTCGTAAAGCGCTTTTCTTACGTGCCATTTTGCATTAATTTTATACGATTTACTGTCTAACGAATGAAGTCATAAACATGGATGACGGTATGCTAGAGGCGACCTAGAGAGCAAAACGTTTTAAGAACGTAACTACTACTGCAATGGTATGAATTATAAAAGTAAGGAATAACTAAAATCTGAAGCTCGTAACATAGTTACATCGCCCTCTAATAACAAAATAACGCATATTAGTTTTTGATGCGATTCTTCATTCAAAAATCGTGGTAGACCCACGTCGTGGTTCATTGAAATCTCCAACGAGGTCCTTCATAAATAGAAAGCACACTTTTCAGAGGATCAATGGATCTAACGTATCACAGTTACAATTTTATATACCTGCGTTTAGGTCCATGAACTACGTCATAAATCGCATCATTTTAAAGCGAAAAAAAAGTATTATCATAAATTGGAATGCGAGTAATTCAACAATATTAATATAAAATAAAAGAGTGTTTAATTTAAATCGTTATTTTATAAAAATTTATTTTTGTAAATATCAACGATAAATAATCAATTTAAAATTAAATAACTGAAATATTAATATCGGCGAATTGCATTAATAATTTTGAGTTATTACTTGCAATAAAAAATTTAAAATTTATGTATTTTACATTTGAAGACTGTGAGAACTATAAGAAGAATAATATAGAAACCAATTCTACAGATTCAGAAGTAACAATAAGTGAAACTTGTTGAAGTAATCTCATCCCAACTTACTTTACCTATTGCAAAATATTCTCTGACACTCGCAATAGTTATCAGTCCGATGTTAATTTTATCGAAACACCTTGCTCTCCAGCCGTCTCATCCATCCGGCTTGGTCAGTCCCACGACATACGTTGCTCAAATATCCTCTGTCGATCTGTTATGATCGTAAGAATGTCGGTCTTGATGTCGCCCAGCCCTAAATGCCATGTGGGAACGCTACAGCCACTTATTTCGTGTCACGCCGGAGAGCCTGCGTCCCCACATTAGGTTATATCATACTATTGTCCCCTGTATGTGCTGTGGATCTTGTGTGGTACCCTGCATCTGCGGCGACGGGCAGGGTGAGCCCATCGGGCATTGAAGGGAAGGTGGATCGTAGAGACCGCCTAAAGAGCCGCCGAGGCCCGCGCCGAGACTAGGTCCCAAGGCCGCGTTAAGTTCCGGCATGGAGGGTAGACCCACGTCGAGAATGCCGGTATTGCTAGCACCGCCGCCAGCCTGCGAGCCCTCCTCCGGCGGCGTCACCTCCAGGCCGATCGAGCCGTTCAAGGCGATCTTGATCGAGTTGTGGTTGGAGGGATGTGAAAGCGCACCCAGACCGATGTCCTCCAGGCTACTCTTTCGCCTGGTCGTCATCGTCAGACTCTGCCTCAGGGAATTGCTACGTCTTAGCAGGATATCGTCGACGACTCGCAACGAGTTGGAGCGACCGCGCAGAGTCCCGGCTACGGTAGGGCTATCGGGTAGAGACAGTGAATTCGACTTGGTCGTGCCTAAGGGTGGTGCCCTGGCCAAACCTATGCTGGAACCGCGACGACTACCCGGACCACCGGTCTGTAGACCCGCGGCTGCGACCGCCGCGCTCATCTGGGATACTAGTTGCGCCGAGCAGAAGCTGATGTTGCTCTTGCGTCGAGAGTTGTGCCGTTCGAAGGTCTTCTGCGCGGAGAACGGGCTGGGCCGCACCAAATAAACAATGTCGCCTTCCTCGAGTTTTAGATCGCAGCTCGGGTTGATGATCACGTAGGACAGGCTGTTACGCTTCTCCGATACGTCGTCGTAGTCCGCAACCGGCAGATTCAGCGATTCCATCCGTGAGCGCACCAGGTTTGCGATCTCCGCCCGTTCAATCTGCTGCGCGTGATTGTCACGTGCCTCGTCGCCAAGACTCACCGAATACTGCAGGTATATGAAAGAGACGATAAATTATTAGCATAAATCTGCATTCACTGAGAGATATTTTGTTGTGACGATCGATAATATCAACGAGGTGACCTGAATACCATCGGTCATTCCATCTTATCTCTTATCATAGTTTCGTATAATAAAGTAGAGACATCAGCATTGTGCATCCGAAATTATGTGCTCTTTAAAAAAGTGCGGCATAAAGTAAAGAATTGCAATTTTTGTAGGATATTGTAATGCAAATAAAAGACTTTTTAGATTTTAACTCTTTCTGATGTCATATTGTAATTTTATTATTACTCGCTATAAATGTAGGTTTTATAAGCTTGGAAGATCGGTTAACGTTCACGTGTGAATTATCAAACGCAATCAAGTCAATTGGACATATATATGTGCATTTTATCTTCACTACATGCAACAAGTGGCTTAACGTGCGCGGCATTTATGGTATTATAAGAACCGCTATCACCCGGCACTGTTACAGCCACCTTCTCGATATCAGCCGAACGCCACAATCGATTGATTTTACATCTTAAACAATACATAAAATATTTTCGGCTCCGCGAAGACGTTCAAAAATTCCTGGTGTGAGTATAATCGATCTCAGGGATACAACGTTTCGCATGCGCTGCTGTGCTGCGGTAGACGAGTCTGGACGTCCATTATACAGAGTGTGAGTGGGGGAGAGAGAGAGAGAGAGAGAGAGAGAGAGAGAAAGAGAAGGAAAAAAAGAGAAAGATATGAAGAGGCAGAGGCAATAATGAGATATAGAAGCGAGAGTAGAAAATGAAGTAGAAATATACAAAACAATCTGAAGAAAGGAAACAACCACCACGTCGACGTTTTACTCACAGCAGATGCACCCTTGTCGCGGGTGGCGCAATTCGCAAGGCACGAAGCTGCCGCCGAATGACGCACCTTGTACGTCACACCGACGCCGGCGTCGCTTTCCGCGTCTGAGTCGCCCTGTTAAAACGACAAGCAATTCTACCCTTACTAATGATAGCGCATCGCCGATAACGCGATTTCGCACAGTACGCCGCGCCGTGTTTCGCAGTACAGCACGTTGCTGTGAAGTAACGATTAGATCGATCGCCCGCTCGACTTCTTTCATCGAAGTAAGTGCTCCTCGCCGAGGACACATAACGCTCGAAACGAGCGCTTTGTATATTTGTATTTGTCGGAACGGTCTATATTTTTAATTATAACATCAATGTAGACTATCTTTGCTTTCGTATAGAAGAATTTTATTTATTGAAGCATACATTAAAATTTATATATATATATATTATTACTATATATATATATATATTAAATTGTGACTATTAAGATTCTATTATTTTGTTACTATATTTTGCACGCCGGAGATAAAACAAAAGCTGCGTCGCAATCGAGCACACTAAATCTAACACGATGCAAGTTTAAAGACGCTAAACCAATGAATTGGGGAGATAACGTGCTATGAAAGTTAGTTCGTCAAGATGCAACGGCCCCGGATTGTTATTTATGCGCGGCAGGATTAGGCCACGAGAAAATGCCACGAGAAGAAATGAGGCAGGAAACGAAATCAAAAAGAAGGAGCGAGAGCACAACCATGCGCTACTCACAGCCGCCATTCAACGATTTTTCCTGTCTTTGTAAAAATACAAGTAACAAACTCTACTTTGACTATATTTATTCCTAGATAAGATATGTGAAGTTATATACTTACATGTGAGGAGTCCGATACGGTAGTATCCTGCGTCCTGTATATTCCAATTGGAATTTCGCAGGTGGTAGAACAAAGTTTTTGATACAATCTGCCGTACGTTCTTATCCACATGTCATCCTTAGTTATTCGCATCTGCAATTGTTTTCATTGCATTTGCTAACGATGTCAACAACATAGTACACATAGTGAACAGATATATATAGTAGAATTCTTTATAATTCTTATGTAGAAATTGACTAAATAAATTGATATACTTTGTGACTGGATTTTCTTTATTTATATTAAATTGACATATTATTAAAGTTATTGTCAGATTGAAAATGGCTTATAATGATAAATGTTGCTGTAATTACTGTAATTGTCATTAATATATATGTTAAAGAAATTATAATTAATATGAAGGAATTAAACATTCGCCATATTTGTAGATTATTAACAATTTCATAATAATGAGATATGTTTTAAATAATTGCTCACCGACGTGAGGAATCCAGATCCTGGCGCTTGATCTACTCCTAGTAACAATCTTACGAATGTTATCACGTAATCTTTGACGAACGCTTGGTAAAGCAAAGTATCTAACATCGAGGCGCTGAAGACACTACCGGCGGCGAACGGCAATCGAAACATGTACGATATGTGAGATCCTCTTTCCTTTTCTCTCTGCAAACATTATCAATCGTTAATTTTATTTATTATAGATAATATCGGTGGTTGCTGCAAACAATCGCTCCTAAAATTGGTTACGAACTCTCATACATTTTCCGCCTTCCTCTAATGTACACAAACATTTTTCATTTTTTGTTTAAATACATTCCGAGTTTGTCAACATTTTCAGTTAGGCATGGAACAACAATATCAATTTTTAAGTGCTCCAATATTAAATATTTCTATATAGCAAACAAACGCAAGTATTTGTAATTCCAAAACCATACATATTGATATTGTAAATAAATAAAATATTAAAAGTACATATTATTGTTTAAGAAATAAAGTTTTATATCATAAAATGTTTATTTGATCAACATTAATCATCTAGTAATCCATAACATAATATTGAAGTCTATCAAATAAAAAATCTATTATCCAACGCAATATATTATACAGCATGATATTATATAAAATGTATATACAATATGTATTTGATTTATACATATAAACAAAATTAACTTTTTTTAAGTCCAACTAATTTTGATTCAAATACTGAAATTTGTGACAAATTGATTTTAATATATGTATATCTTTATATTTATAATTTAACTAGTGTCAAATCTTTTAAATATTGAAAATCTTCGAGCATCTGGCATATCGCATCGCATCATGCAACGTGACATGAAAATGACATGGCGTAAATAATTTTACGTTTCTTTTGTACAAATAAAGAATGAAGATTAGAAGATTAGAAACGCTATCGCGTAATGATGCGGCATATCAAGGGAGAAAATGAAAGAGGTTCCTTTAATGTAGAATTTTTAACTCACAAAATTGATATTTAAAACGTTATAAGACTTATACTAATATTAGCATAATTAGCCTAATGGCATTCCGTGGCATCTACGAAGCTAAAACAGATACTGTCGCATATAATAATATTAATTGTTTTGGTAACAAGATATAGATAGATTACGTTGATTAGTTTTTCTCCAAACCGCAATTAATAACATAATTAAAATTCAATACAATTTTAATTCGCCAGTCTGAAATAATAAGCTTAAGACGTATGAATCTCGGCCTAACTCGCAATAATTTATTACTATATTGGTCATTATAATCGCCAAGACGATACAACCGTACTTTGGTTTGTTATCGTCAAGGCATACTTTTTAATCAAGGATAATTAAAATTATTCTAACAATATACATAACTTCAAACAACGTATTACGCGTTATAGTCAATAATTCATTTCCCTGCTTGATGATAAGAAACGAATTCGTAGATTCATGATTGTTATATGGAACCTATAACTTTTGAGCAAGTACTCGTGTCACATATTTTACACAACACTCAATGTATCATAAAAAATGCCGGGTAATTGTCAAGTAATGCAGGTCGACTAAAAATGTGTCATGCTTTAGATATAATACAGGGAAATAAAGTAACACGTGTATGTTTGTGCGGAAAGGCGAAGAAAATGATTATAATATTTTCAAGGATTCTAATCTATCAAGCGGCATCAAGGCATGAGTCACCATGCTATAACATCCAATTTAAGATTAAAGAGTACCAAGAAATAGCTATCGATATATTGAGTGCAACGGGACAATAAGTACAGAAGGTAATCAGTTCGTGACCCAAGCATCGATACCTATAAGTTCATAAGCGGCTACTTGTAAAATGTTGTTTATATAAAGTCATCGATATTTTCTATGTTCTCATCGCTCTCTAAAATATCTCGTGAAATATGTATATAAGAAAAATTCCTATCTTTAAAAATTTTAAATTTACATATACACATTTTTAAAAATAACTATAATCAACTTATAATTGTAATTGTGTATATGACTAATTTATAATTAATTACAGCGTAAGTTATAACGTAATTATGTGCTTTATTCTCCTTAGAATCATTTAAAAAAAACTCTCTCTCGAGTTCTTCCGTGTTAATATCGCGGACCAAAGAATAAAGTAAAAATGTGATGGCGTTGGTAAAGTTGACAAGCGGCGCGACGAGGGTGCATGCGGAAAGCAGCACTTAGAGCAAAGTGATTTCCGCGCGGAGCGACTTTACCCTCGTAATTTCTTTCCGCTTCCAACGGTGCGGCTTTACGAGGCCGGCGATCGCAAATCTCGGGAAGCGTCTTTTTAAGTTTGCCGCAACCTCGAACGCTGCATCCGCCGAAATTAGATTTGTATAAAAGCTATGCCGGAAAACAGCAAAGTAGGACGAAATATGGAAGAAATAGTTTTATAAGTTCAAGCCGCAAAAGTGCGTTCTTTGTTATCATTCTGTGGATATTGGTAAATCATAAATTTTGTATTAGGGGTTGCGCAAAAATATTAATTTTACGATTGTGTAATATAGTATTTTTGGGTCAAGTACCGCGAATATTAGAACGAGAGCGACGATAACATTAGAATTTAGCAGTCAATCGATCAATCAATTCAACAATCAATCAGTCAGAGTTTGGAGAATGAGTGATATCGTGTTACCGGAGAGCCCATCGGAGGCTCATCGGAGTAGTTGTCATCGGTAGTAGCACTGAGGAGTACCTTTTCCATTTTGCTGAGATGCAAAGCGTACTTGTCGTGTGCCCGGAACTGCATGAAACGCATATTGCTCGACTGGGACAATTCTGTTATGCTTTTTATGCTTGGGAAAAATCTATCAAAGAAATAGAAAATAATCCCATAAAAAATGAGAATTTAATATATAATTTTATGCAATTTTGTTGATAATTTTTTTCTTTATATTTGTCGTTATTAATAATGCATCTTAAATATGTCATTTTCTTTAAAATAAACATTTTTATAATCTTGATTTTCTATAATAATAATTTTAAATTGTAAATATCTTTTATCTTTACATCATTATAATAATAATAAGAAATCAAAATGTATATTTAGAGATTAGAATATATATCATATTATAAAATAATTTATTTTATACTAAATAACAATACGAATATCTTTTGCAAGCAAGGCACAGTTAGAGGTTTAAGTTATAAAGAATGGTCGAAACATTTTCTGCCAGACAATTTTTGTAGTGATGATACTCACTTAAACATAGTCTGCACCGCAACGATTGTATTACAATCAGCCAGGGTGTCCTCCTCGGCGGAATTGTTGAGTTCCTTGTTTACGACTACAACGTTTTCAGCTAAAGTGATACCAGCCCGGAGAAGGTCGTCTAAACAGTCGATCGAACCTCGCATCCAGTAAACCAACGGAAAGTAGGACACTGCGTCGAGAAACGCGATTTCCGGTTTTCTCTCCAGCAAAAGAATGATCGGATTCAATGATGTTTTCGACCTGACAAATGTTCCTGCTTGTTAATTGATCGCTTCTCCTCGTACCTATACTACTTGATCAATTTCTTTTAGCTTTAATTTGTGATATCTCTTTTAACTTTAATTGGCAATACGAAATACTTTAACAATGTTAAGAGAAAAACAGCGTGCTCTGTGACCGCGACCCATCGTCTATGAAATCACATATGTAATTTTTAAAAAAATTTGGAATATTTTTTTTTTAAAGACGTACGTGCGCGCGTACGCACGTCTTTAATCGCAGTTGAATATAAATAGCTTTAGGCCAAAATTGGTTTTAAGTAACACTATAATTAAGAAATATTTGAGATATTTGAAATTATTAAATATTTTTTAAATTAATGAAAAATGTTAACATGATTAAAAAATGTATATTAAAATAACACTCATAAAATTATAATAAAATTATAATAACTAATAACTATAATAATTATTTTATTTAATTATAATAAAATTATAACTAAAGAAATAACAATTATATAACACTACTAAAGTTTTAATGCTACTTATAATAGCGTTTACATTTTTTTCAATGTTATTAAAAAGTTATAATAGTTATAACCGCATAGCAATATAGATGAAAAAGTTTCTACTTATTGGCAATTGCCGTATAAAAGCAATTTTATAAAGTTAAGTGAACAATACAAACATGTTCACTATTAAATAATCCATCATATATTAAAGCATTAATGATGCAATAAATACCTAAAATGTGCCCTCAATGGTATTATAAAGTTATAAATTCCATTGCTAGCATAATCCGCTGCCAGTATAATGGTCTTATTCTGCCAATTGTATTCTTTGGCGTTTCTATAGCTGCAATGTTGGCACACCTAATAAAACAACAAAAAGAATCGTGAGTGTCAAAAATCAGTACCATTCCGTATTCATCATTTTTAATTTTATTTTCTAGAGAACCGCCCGCGTAGTACCACATACCTGAGCCAGCTGAAGGCAACAAAGAGGCTTCTTCTCCTTGAGAAGATAGCACAAGGTTGGCGAGACTCCAATGAAGGGTGAAACTGGCGGAAATCCCTTGACAATCCTGTAACATTGTTATAACTTAATTATTTCATCCCAACGCCTCTACGTATGATGCTACATTTCGGCGCCGTGCGCCTCTTATTAACGAATGTCGCTTGAGGACGACACGACAACTTGAAAAAGTGTGTCATCGACATAAAGATAATAGAGCTCGACTGAGCAGACAGACTTGGTTTTTAAGGATTAGATTAAAATTAAGTTATAAATTTTTATCATATTTTGTGTTAGTATATTAAATAATCATATTTATGCACGGCAGTTTTTCTAGAAAAATATACGTTTCTAAAATATGCAGCTCGCCTTTATGGAGAAAAGTTCGGCTCTCTCGAATGTTATTTACCGATTTTCAGTTCCTTGAAAGTCAGAGATAAGTTGTTTGAAAGAGATGAAAGGGGTAAGTTGTTTTATATTCTTTCGGATTTCGTATCTTCATGTCACGCGCGCGATCCAAACGGTAAATAATGTTCAACACTGGGATAGTGTTATGTCTGACTGGAAGCATTTATTACGCGCATAATGTTATTCTGTTTGTAAATCATATCTTAAAGTATATTCTCCATTAATCACGTTAAAAAAATATCCGAGTTTTCTTTGCAATAAAATCAATGATGTTTCAAATACAAATTTGTTAAATTTTTATATTTATTTATAGCTATTAATTTATTTTTGAAATAACAATGTTATTAAAATTATTTATTATCTAAATTTATTATTTATGTTAAAATTATTTATATCACATTGAAGATTTAATATTATTAATATTATATGTATAAGTATACGTGCCTCAAATGTCAAATTGATAAAGACGGTATTAGATGATAAAGACATAGATTGTAGAGAGGTCCAGATTCAAATTCTGGCTAGAGTGATATTTTTCGCAATAAATTCTTTACAGTGATTTAAAAGGGATCTTCATTAGTATAAAAAATGAAATCAATTATCGATTTAAGTATGTGACTTTACTGTTCCAACAAAATGTTGTGTTTTAAGACAAATAATCGATACGCAGTTCATTGACAATGAGTTGGAAAACGTATACAAAATTCACACAAAAACATTATTATTAGGCTACCAAGATCCAAAGCCCGACCAAAAATAACATTTTTTCTAATTAATTGTTGATATTATTTAATTTTAAATATTAATAATAAAACAAATTAAAATTTAATTTATATTAATTTAAACAGAACTATAACACAAATATTATAATTACAGAATTATTAATAGCCTCGAAACACTTATTTTTGATATATACTTACGATGTCGACACTTCAACCAGCAAATCTTTAAGTTTATATAGGGTGTTCCAGGAGGAAAAATCACCACTCTGACAGGTGATAATATCGGTCATTTTAAGCAGAAATGTTTATATGAACAAGCGTTTTATTTCGAAGAAGATGGTTTTTGAGATAGAGCTATTTGAATGTATAACAGTTGCAAAATTACTGATAAGAAAGATACATGCTTCACATAACACTGTTATGATAACAGTGGACTGTCGCACAAATGCAGCAGTGGTATTACCATCACAGAAGCCGTAAACATACAGCATATCTGCATATTGAACATTTATAAAGATGTACGGCATTTTTTACAACACTTCTACAATGTTACTATCAACAGTCAACTGTGTGAAGTATATGTATGTCTTTCAGTAATTTTACAATTGTACATTCAAATAGCTTTATTTTGGAATAGGACACTTGTTCATATAAAAATGTTTGCTTAAAATGACGAATATCTACTATCACCTCCCAGAGTATGTGACCTTTTCTCCTGGGACCACTTTGTATAAAAATGTACTATGTACATTAAATGTATTGTAATATATGTATAAGTAAACTAAAATAAAAATAGGGTGTAGTTCCGAACGACCCCTGTTCCTAATTGACCTAAAATTTTACTCATAAGTTGTTTTCGGTGTAAAGAATAAAATCCGCGTGGTCCAAACTTCGGGAAATAAAAAATTTTTTTTTATGTTAGCACTTATCGGCTAAAATCGATTCTATATGATATATATGTTATTGTAAAAATGATAAATTCGATAATTATATGTAAATTACCGGTTATTATGCATAGATTTCAACATACGATGGTAAAGGTGATAAATTATAGCAAATTTATTAATCTTACCGGTAATTGTATCCAAGACTTTTTGGTAAAAATAATAATAAATCTTTCATTAATTTTGTTGTGGGTGGGAAAGTGTAAATCTATTGTATTCACGCATATACTTTTCCATCCACACAACAATTCCCATACAGAACAAAATATCTAATAGATATCCAATGGATATCTATACATATCCATATGACGTCCATATCTGTTATGGATATCTAATAGATATCTAATAGATGTGAAATGATAATAGATGTAAAAATACTAAAAATATATATATCTCTCAAATAACCAGCAGGGATATCCATTAGATCCACGTGTTATCCACATATCCATGTCCACAAAGTATTTGTCAAAGATATCCATTATAGATATATCCACGTGCTATCCACATATCCATATCCACGAAGTATCTGTCAAAGATATCCATTAGATATCCACGTGCTATCCACATATCCATATCCACAAAATATTTGTCAAAGATATCTACACGTTATCCACATATCCATGTCCACAAAATATCTATTAAAGATATCAAGCGACGCAGTAGCGTCGCGACGCTAAGTAGACATAAAGAGAGAGCTAGCAGACGACGCTACCAAGTAGCTTATCCGGAGTTTTCAGGCGATCGATTTTCCGAATCAAATATCTCAAGAAAGAAAACTGCGATCGAAAATCTGACGACAGTTTTCTAGTATAACATTGATACAAGCTTTCGATTGCAACTAATCTGATTAAGATTGGTGCAGTCAATACTGAGATCTCGAAATCTTACATGTCAAAAATGTGAATTTTTTCGGCGAGATCTCAGCATATAAACTTTGTATACTACGAAACATACGTACGAGTATACACGTCGATTAAGAATATACGACATGTATTTATATGTTCGAGATTTTTAATCGAAATGTATATCGGTATGCCACATGGATTTTTACAACTTTCAACGTGTGCTATATATTATTATATATACTATATATATTATATTTTTTATATAGGGTAACTCGGGGGAATATGCCATACTTAAGAAAAATATGATTTTTTTTCTTATTTTTCTTTCTTTTTGAGGTATCTTTGCGTACTGGTCTTCTTTTTCCTTCTTTTATCTGTTATTTATATATGGTTTTTTAATGAAATATTTTGATTCTTTACTATTGAAAAGAAAGAAATACAAAAGTATTGCAAAAGTGGCATATTACCCCCATGGGGGTAATATGCCACATATACAAAAATGTATAGTTATTTAACTTTAGAAGGGCATTCTTGTCTAAAAACATGTAAAAGAATATTTTTATTACAATTCCAATAAAACACTAAGAAAATTCTAAAAAGCACATTGTCATACTTGTCATACTGTACTTACCCCATAAAAACTATAATACTGACAGGAAGTAAGTAAAACTTGGGTAAAACGTCAGATATAATATTTTTAACAATTTCAACAGTATTTACAACAGCGCTCCTAGCCGTAGCTTTGTTAAACATAACAAGTGTTGGCATATTCCCCCCAGTTACCCTATGTTGTATATATTATATAAAACCGATTTTATTAGTCGATAAGTGCTGTCATAAACATTTTTTTTATTTTCCGAAGTTGGAACCACGCGTACTTTATTCCTCACATCTAAAACAACTTATGTGTAAAACTTTAGGTTAATCGGGAGCAAGGGTTATTCGGAACTCTATCCTTAAAATAAATGAAATATATCGTAATAAATAATTAAGCAAATCAAAAATGGAGATGTGTAGAAGCGTAAAATAAGAGACTCACCCTTTGAAACTGCTGGACGGAAGTCGTGCAGTAAGACGGCAGTGCACAAGGACGATGCAAGAAGGAAGACATCAAAAACATCCATGAGGACATATAAGGTGTCAGGCAGGACAGCATCGAGCAGCGATTCAACGGCACCGTTGCCGTTAGTGAAACAGGCATCGAGAGACATTGAGACAGGATACATCAACCATTGATTTGCATGACTTATACTTAACGATTAAAGATGAATAAACATCAGTGCGTCAAAACATTCGCGTCACGCATAAAAACGATTTGATCTACCGTGTTCGATACTTTACGCTTCTCAGAGAGATGGACCAAAACGTCAACAAAACAAACATAAAACGATAAAAAATTACAATTAAGAAATCTATAATTGGATCTATATCTCTGGGTTCTTACTTCGAAGCTCTATATTGTTTGGCGTGTGCACAAAAACACATCTTAGATTTTTTAAATCTATTTAGAGATATTAGAGATCGTACTTACTGTTATATAGCTATATAGGCAAAGCACTATTGCTACTTCAGACTAGCAAAGTATATAAGGAAATGTAAAAGCTATGTACGTTCATTTATATAAAATATTTTAGAAATCACTCCTTATGTAATCAGTAGACATTAGGAGATCTTCTTAATATTACATTATTAAAAAAAGTTAATTTTTTTTTATTAAAGGATTATAGATATTAGATACATAAAACATAAATAAAAGGTAAACTTTAATATTCTTTTCCATAAACTGGAAAATCGCGATTGTTAATAAAAGATTTAGTAAATATGGATAAAAGGTCGAACCTCACCAATGACCTTGACCTTGACATATGTTGTCAAGGTCACCCTCCTGAGTGACCTTCAAAAGGTTTAGCCGGCGGTCATTGTTCATTAAAAAGTTATAAACAAAAAAAAGGTTGAAAAATATAACAGTACTATCGCAAAGAGCCAGGGTGTACACGGTGCATATTCGTATACTCTCAGAATATCTATGCAAGTAACTCTCTTTTCTTCTTTCAATGACACAGAATGAACGATACAATGACTCCTGACGCGTTTTAGTGCTAATGACGTCATTAAATTAAGAATGCGTCAAGCCGTATAGCTGTACTACTTTTTTTTAAAGACACCGTGACCCCGTCTACAACGTAACTCTGCAGAGTTTTAAAAATTTTATGATAATATAAACTGGGATATCAAAAATTGATAAATAAAAATATTAATACGTCATTGTTTTAACGAAAATTTTAGCTAAATTTACTAAAGTTTTAAAAGAAAACGTAAAGCAAAATTTTTAAATAGATACACAGATCCCGGGAAAAAATGTTCATATCTGATCATATTTGATCACATATGTAAATGAGATATGAACAGATATAAGTTTTACATGCTCATATATAAAGCATATATAATCATATATGGTTATCTATCGCCATATATGATCAGATCGTACATTATACATGACACTAGATCTGATCATATATATGGCGATAGATAACCATATATGATTATATATGCTCTATATATGAGCATGCAAAACTTATATCTGTTCATATCATTTATATATATTCATATACTGTCAGATATGAATATTTTTCCCGGACATTTTTTATCGTTGTATATTATGTATAAGCCCGAGGGTCTGGAGTTCGCTTACTAGCTCGGCTTTGGACAGCCGATAATAATACGCCTTCATTTTACCCGCGTCTTGTGCCTGAGCCTTTCGGTCGGGTCCCTGTTCGGGCGCCATAAAACAACCTAGCTTCCGAAGCGCGGAGTTAGCTCGCGGCTGGTCAGGGTTCGGAGTAGGCGCGGAGGAAGACACAAGACTCGGTTAAAATATAATACAACAAAATAAAGTATTTATTCAATTACGCGTGAATACATGGAGACGCTCGCGGGAGCGGTGCATATGTACAAAGCTCGCGGTCGCTGCTACGGTAGCGACAGATTACAGTGATCGCGGAGTCGATGGCTACGTGTGATAGATCGCGGGCGCGGTTTATAATGGCGGTGTAATGCAGATAGCGCGGAGTCGTTAAATACGTATACTAGGTCGCGGACGCGGTTACAATATAGATATCACGGGGCGTGCGGACGCCTGGTGAAGCGATGATTTACGGAGATCGCGGAGTTTCGCGGATCGGCGGGCGTGCGGGTTCGCAGAGGTAATTCGGCGCGGTAGCGCAGATTTGGATACCGGCGGTAGTGAGCGCATAAGGCGCTGGATCGCTATTGGACGTGATATCGAGCGGCTAAGACCCTTAGCGGAGATAGAGAAGTACTCTCTATTTCCTGGCGCATCGATTTGTGTAGGCGGGAGGCGGCACCGGGTGGCCAAGACCCTTGGCGAGTAAGAGAAGAACTCTCTTACCCTGGTTCACTCCGGTGTCACAGGTGTTCGAAGTATGTATAATGGAAAGTCGGGTCAACCGCCTAGATTCTTCACTCGGCAGAGGCAGAGAATACTCTCTACCTCCTGGTTGTTTCGACTGGAGGATTTCGGGATCCGTGAGCAGCGGGGAATCGGTCGGATCGGTTTGCTGGTTCACGGCGGAATCTCAAAACCTAGCAATATTGCTCGGTTTATATACGCCCGCGGTGGCGTGTCGGCGTAGCGGGGGTATACGCGACGGCACTCGCGCGCGCCGGGATGGAGCGGTGGAGCGTCCGGGAAGTACGGCGCTCCGACGCTGCGATTGCGTTCGGTGGCTCTCGGCCGTCTTCGGCACCGCTCGGCGCTCCGAGTCGGTTGCCGCGCTAAGTCCGTTTGCGGACTGATACGCGAAATGGAAAGTTTAAAAAAGGGCACACCGTGCCTTGTCTCGCCCGGCGGGTGTTCGGCCGGGCGGCATCCGGCTGATGTTCGCCGGGAATGATGCGTTTCGGGGCGCATCGTTACAGTATATATATGATTGTCATTCTTATTCTTTTTGATTTCAAAACAATTCTGGTAATTTAAGAGAGAGAGAAAGAGAGAGATCCAATTCGAGAATAATAAATAAAATTTCAAATATTAAGAATTAATTTATACGCGAATATATACGCGCAAATAAAAAAAATATCCATAAAAAATCACAACACTAAATGGCGTATGCTCTGTGCAGCCATCTTTGATACAGTAAAATATGTATCTATGATTTGTATATTGTTTGAATACTTCCGATGCGTAAACATTTCTTATTTGTATCTTCTTGAAAAGACACAACCCAAAACAGCATACAGCAACAGTACATATAGGACGCAGCATTTAGCATATTTTACTGTATCAAAGATGTAGATGGCTTCAATATGGCACAAAAATTCCTTTGAATACGCCATCTAGTGTTATATAGAGATCAGTGTAAAAAATGCATTAAAAAATTGCATAAAGAAAGTGAATTTTGTTTAAGAGAACACTTTTGATATCTTTACTTAATTTGATTTATATAATGATGTTTTTATTTTTTTAAATTTATTTATATAATGATGTTTTTATTTTTTAAAATAATAAAACATGATATATTTTACTATTTCTTTTTTCAAGAAATTTATATATAAATCGCAAATTATTTTAACTATAATATAATAAGATGCTTATAAATTAAAACGGAAAGATGAATAAGATTCAATATTATTAATTAATGTTTGACTTATTATTATTATTAATTAAGTTTATAGAACAATTAAATCATTATTTCTTCATTAATATCAATTTCGCAAAATTTGAGATTTTTTTTTACGAGTATTTTCTTGACATATTCAACTAGTGTACAGATACAAAAAATATAAAATATATACAATATGCATAGAGATTTGTGATGCACATAAATAAAAATTTGTTACATCAAGACCGCATCATGCAGGTGCACGAGACAAAGTGCGAAATTGTTCGTCCTCAAAGGATTTTGCATTTGTGCTTTAAGTTATTGATCGATATGTTCATAATGCATATTACATCAATATTAAATAATTCTGAAGAAGAGAAGAAAATAAGACACAAATTTCTGCTAATAATTTTCTCTACTCGATTTGCTTCTCTATTTTTAACTAGCTATTGTTCGTGCTGCATAATTGTCAAAAACTGCCGTCATGGATCCTTAGATCCAATGTATCACAATGGAAAGAAGAAGGACAAAAATATACTTACGCGATCTTCTCGCTTGGCGATCTCCAAGGAACGTCATCATCCATTTCATCCTCCGACTCGTCAGCCTCGTGGTCCAAGGATTCTTGCCCAGGCAGATGTAACGTCGAGCTAGTTAGCATATCTGGTACTGGTAGAATACTTGGTCTTCTGCTTCCTAAAATATTGCAAATAAAAGGTCTTTCTCTTTTTTTCTAGATTATCTTGTAATCTATTAAAACTCTCTTTTCACGTTTATAAAATTTATACATTTACTCTAATAAGCTCAAAGAAAACTTTATCCTTGAGCCAAAATATGTCATTATAATAAATACATGTTGATTTAATCAATTTATTTTTTTTGCTAAAATTAATTATTACTAGAGGAAAGTCCCCTATTATGAGATACCACATCTATTTTGTGTGATTATTGGAAGTCTATGGGCAGAATTAAAAAATGTAGTAGGTCATTTTGAAGGGAATTTAATAAGCTTTAAAATGCTAAACTGTAAAATCTAATTTAAATATTAATTTAAATATTAATTTTTCTGAATAGAAAAATGTAAAAAATGAGTTTCATGCAAAATCGGAAAAGTGTGCTCCTAATATGAGATACCCCGACAAATCGCTAATAAAGTGCAAAATACATCGGTATTGCTATTAGAAAACTTCGTTTAATGTCTCTGAAATACAAATGTAATGGAAAAGCTTATTTGCAATAATCGCAAACCCACTTATTATACTCAATATTTCCAGCGCTGCCAGTGTGCGCCCAGCATGAGCATGCGATCACCATCAGCACACTTTTGTAAGTTCGTATGAACCTTCCCTTAACTTTAATATAGTATTTTCCCTCTTTTTATTACTGTACAATAACCTTTATACTCTAGCAACTAGCAACGATCGTCACCCTGAACATATATTACGGACCCCACGCCTTGCGGTTTCGCGATCACCAAATCTATTTTCTACAATTAAGCAACTCAACATATCCTGTATTTTCCTATTAATACGACTTTACTCTATCGCTCCATATAGAACTCATTGTCAAATATTTATTTATTATATAATAAACGAGGTTCAAAGTCTCACCTTCATGGTACTTGACAACAACCAAATTTACAATTTCGATATTTGTAACGAGTGCATGCACGATCGAGCAACGAATTTTTTACTAAATAGGTTTTACACCAAGGGCAATAAGTTCATCGTGGAACCAACAAATAGAACCTATTTAGTTTAGTAGAAACCCCGCTATCGCATATTAGGAGCTTATCTCATAATATAGGGGACTTTTCTCTATATAAATATTTAATAGTAACCACTACAGTTTCCAAATTATATAATGTGATAAATAGTAATATAATTTTAATTCAATAGCTATAGAGTAATCTATCGAATTAAAACTCAAAGACATAGATAAATAGCCAGACATATACATATATTTTTCAATCAATTGTAAAAAGATTTTGCTTAAAAAATTGTAACTTTTATTTAATATTATTATATAATATTATTAATATTAAATATTTAAGTATCATTAAAAAAATCACTAATAAATTGTTTAAAAAATTCATTTAAAGTAATAAATAAAGTAATCAGTTCTTAGTACGCGGACAATGCAAAATATTTCATGAAGACATTTGACAAGAGAATATGTTTTGTGATTTCTTAAAAATATTACATTTCACAAAAAGTTTGTCGTATTTATAATTTGTACACTACATGAAAATTTTATCTCAATCGTATCAACGTATTGTTAGAATAAAGAAGGAGGATATCAGCCAAACTAGTAAATAGATATTCTAATTTTATTATAGTATTGTACAAATATTAATGTACAATAACTGAAAAGCACTTTGGGGGAGGCCTAAATCCGACTCGGACTGTTGCGCCATTGAATTTGAATTTGAATTAAACTGAAAAGCATAGAATATCTATTTGTAGAAATAACTTTTGAAATTAATGGAAATACTAGTAATTAAAAATGTTTCAAACTAATTTTATACGCATAAAAGTATGTCAAATCCATAAAAATAGTAATTTTAATAAAATTTTGTTGAACACATTTTTAGATGACCTTTAATTTTATCAGTTTCATTTACATCGTCAATTAAAATCCAATTTAGCATAAGGTAGTAATAGAAATTAAAAAGGTCATTTCCAGAAATGACAAGCTACGAACGGTATCATAGAATAGATATAAACGGAATTTTGAATTTGATATAATTTTTATGCTTTCTTCTAATATAAAAGTATATAAAAGAAATAAAATTAATAAAACTGTTTCCCAATTTTGGAAAGTATTTTTTATTGCACTAAATATTTAATGAATAAAACTGACCTCTCCTTTGCATTAGAATTTCTGGACTAAGCAGATTAGGATTCGGATCGAGAGATCGTGGCACGTCAAGATGATTTCCCGTGATTGGTGTTTGTGGTGTTGATCCTCCCTCTTTTAAGCATTGCCTCGAGTCCCCAAATCCGCCGGGATCGAGATAAGTCGCTGTAAAATATAAGATTGACCGCGATAAGTGATTCTAATATCGAGATTGATTTTCATAATATCCAATAGTCTGATAAAGTTGCGAATACACTATAAGAAGAAATGTCTTCATAATAACCGATAAACATGAATAAGAGAGACATGAGTGCTTTTTTTTTTAAATAAAATGGGAGGAAAATAATTCATTTTTTTGAGAAAAGAAATACTATCTCGTCTGGCTATTTTATGTTTTTTGTTGTATATAATAAATAATTATACATTTATGTGTTCTCTTAATATGTAGCATTTAATGTAATTTACACCAAATCACGTAATAAATATACATAATTGTATAATTTATGTCTGTGCTGTCCATTTCATAACGAACAATAAAAATATATACCTACAAGCGTGTCCAAAAACAAGCATCTTCCAAAAATTAATAATTGCTTGGCATCAATGGCAAGTTCGGTATCAATTGCAATTCTAGAAAAATTTCTTTAACACTCAATTATTTTGATAAAAAAGTAATAATAAATAAAAATTTTATTTTAAAAAATAATATGTTTCATTTAATTAAATATCTTTTCGATTGTTTATAATGCTAAAGAAAGTTTGTAGTTAGAAATTATTAGTTGATATTTAATACTCGTATTAAATCATGATTTCCGAGTGATTCTATTATTTTCACATAAACTATCATTTTTACTATCATCTATATTCTTGTCTGTTTTAACTTTCTTTCTATTTTATCTATTGAGGAGACCGGGGCATCATGAGCCACGGGGTACCATGGGTCATTGACTGTTTAGGATAATCTAGAATGTTTAAGTTTTGGTATAACTAGTATCATGTGACAGTTACTTCATTGCCCATACTTCGTATCTAGGTGCATGATAGTGATCAAAGTCCGTTGTCTCGTGACACACGTGACATAAATGATTTTCGTGACACATCTACTACAAAACCAATATTAAAACTTTTTTAATCAGTTAAAAGTTTTAACTGATTAAAAAAGTTTTAATATTGGTTTGGTAGTAGAATCTACATGTACTGAAATTCAGGTGCAACTTTCTAGGTTTCTTTTGTGATTTTATAACACTATGGATAATCATGTATAATTAATTTTTTAAATTACATTTTACCGTTTTCTATATTAAAAACGTTCTTCGGTCCTTATATTAGAGAAAATCGATTTTATTAGGATTTTCTTGAAACTGTGAATATACGTTAATTTAGGTGTGCTTTATGCATGGTATAAATTTTAGTACCTTTTCCGGGATAAAAAATAATACTAACCTCAAAGTTTCAAAAAAAAATTTAATTTTTTTAGTTTTGACATTTTTTCCTTATAGAACTCGACGAGAGGAGCAACTTTGGTCCTCTTGGCCAACCTCGTATCTCTTACCGTTTGGCCTGGAAAATTTTTTCATTAGTAAAAGTTGAAACTTTGAGGCTCAGCATCTTTATTTTTTGTTCACGTGTGTTCACACACACTTCACACTCATTCAGAATCGACCACTTTTTCCCACTAGTTGTACAATACACTATTTTCTTCCAGAAAATAATATTTCAATAGTGGATAGTTCGGATATCTTGTCTATCCTTTAAAATTCTGAACAGTGTGATAAAAAATGTATAAAATAAAATATATTTCCAACTTTTGTAACATTTCGTTACTTCTTGAATGAATAAATCTAGTTTTTGTGTGTGACCCATAGTGCCCCAGTGACAGACCCATGATGCCTCGGGTATGGGGCACCTTGGGTCATTTCTCAAAAAATGTGTTTTAATTTTTTTCTCAAAAATTAATCAATATTTATCAAATATGCTAAATAAACTTTAAAATACACATTTTGTGGCTTATAGTGCCCGGTCTCCCCTATATATATTATGTATACTCATGTTTTTTAATACACCGATTAATCGATAACATATCAGATTATTGTTATCGTATCGCAACCGAAATCTGTATGATAAATTAACTCGAATGGAACATGATGGATCCGCAATATTTGACATTACAGCTTCGTAGTTTCCTATTTAGAAACCGCACTTATTGACCGTCGTTTGATGACGAACACTGAATGCCGCATGAACAGTTATATGCACGCAGATTACACATAAAGCGACGTGCAAGCATAAACCACGTCAAGAAAGATATGAACAAAAAGGAAGGAATAGTTCGACACATTTCGGTCGGTTAATCTTCAACCAACACTGTATATTAAGATTTAATCGCATGTATGATTCGATATATGCATTATTATTCCGAGTCTTCCACATAATTTCGCTTTATAGTACAATAGTAAATTTGTGAACAAAAACGTTTTAAAGTCAATGAGTTATTTGAATAAAAGTAATTTTATTATTATTTTATATATTACAAGTGTTAAGTATTAGATTATTTATCATCAATAGAATTTCATTAAAAGAATTTATACATTTTATAGATAATTTGTAAGTTTTTATAAAGAATAAATAGAAACATTAATATATTAAAAAAGATTTGTAATATGCATCAAATTGATACAATTTTTTAATTAATAGAAAAGTGCTCATAAACTTGTATTACTTGTAACATCACCATTGTTCCTTCTTTCTCTAAAAAAAGTGCTTGCTATTTTATTAATTATTACTGCAATTCTACATTCATAGCTGTAAAGCATTGTGTCTTATATGTGTGTACGTGTAGGAAAAACCGGGGCTAAACCGTCAACGGGGTTGAATTGTCAAATCAAATATCTCGGAACCTGTATATTGTGCGAACTCGCTATTAACATTTTGTAAACGCTGCTTATGGTACCCATGTGACCAACGGAGTTTCAGCAGGTTACCTGCCGTGTTATGATTTTTACGAGGGCAAATGTGTTTTAAGAAGGTGAAAGTGAAATTTTCTGCGCGTGGAAATTTTGTAATATTTGCAATATTTGCTCTCCAAATCTCGACGTACGTGATTATAAAGAGTAATGCATGCTGAACACGAATCCAGTGTAGTTTTTTTATTATCGTTGATGTCTAATATTTCGTGGGCGTTCAAATCTGAAACTTGTGTTTGGGGCTTATCCGTCATTAAGCACTCGGGGCTGGTCCGGCAGTCTCGTCACTGTGGCGCGCCGGGCGCACGACTTCAGCTCACGGCGATTTCAAGTTAGGTGTCCCTCAAGCGTGATTTTGTCTTTTCTTGCACGTGCGTCAGTTTGTATAGGAGGGAAATGGTACGCACGTATCGTCGCAAAACGGGTGTTTTGGCCGAAAAGATGGCGGTCCGTTGTGTAGTCTATATTTGTGATTCAATCGTTCTTTATTTTACAAACGTACATAAAGTCCGGGAACAATCCCTCGTTCATTTACCGCATGGCTTTCTCGACAGATCTATTTCTATCGCTATGTCTCGCACGCACTTATTATTCTCTCTCTACTAAGTCCGTTCCGTACTTCTCGCTCAGCGACTCGAATCTCTCTCCTCTCCGTCCGTACCTTCCTTCGGCCCGCGCGAAGGTTTCCCCTACTTTATTTGACCTTTCCAGAGACTTCCTACTTATTGTCATGCTAACGCCATTCAACTGACACGTGCCTATCTCTATTTGAAATTTGTCCGCTTATACTTATTCGAAAATCTTACAGTTGTTTTCGAGATCGCTCGCGCTCACGGCACGTCGCGTCGGCGAGGTACGGCGAGGCACGGCACGGCACGGCTCTGAGATTCCGCGATTTCCGCGCGAAAGTTGACATGCCGCGCTCGCGGTAGATCGTCCCGGCCGCGATCGTCGTTGTTAGTCGTTGTGCCAGTGACAGTCGCGCGTGCGACCGCATCGTCCAGCGTTCGCCGCATCGTCTCGGCGTCATTGTCGCCGCCATTGTAGTGGTGGTGGTGTCGGTGGTGGTCATTGTCGTCGTCGTCGTCGTCGTCGTCGTCGTCGGCGCGTCGAGGAATCGGCGCGAGGACGCCGTCGAGTCGGTAAAATGGTCGCGCTCCACCGCGAGCTTTTCTAACCCCCCTGTCGCTATTTATCGCTCCCCCGCGAGAAACGCGGCTTGGTTAGGTTGCTCGAGGTTGCCGCGCTGATCCTATGGCACCGGAACGCCGTCACGCGTGTTCCCCGTGGTTGCTCGCGTTGACAATGTGACGTGCCGTTGGGGAGTTTACGATTTGGTTAACTAATAAATTGTCATCTGTATTCACGTGCCTAAATTGTTTTATGGAATAGGTAAAACAATTATTTTTTAATAATGTTTCGCATAAAAATTTTAAATAAATTTTTATACTTTTTTCTTAAAAAACAATTATTAAAATGTATCCTATCATTTTTCAGGATTAGATGTACGTATATGTATTAAAAATGCAGTGTGACGGTTAAGCCCCGGGGGGGGTGACTGTTAAGCCCCGGCATTTTTGATATTTTAATTTTTCCACCGTTGTCGTTTTTGCTCTATACCGGTTAAACAAGCGACGTAGATAAACATTTTCTGTATAAATTTTGTAGCTAAAGGTTCACTCTTTACAGTGTGGTATACCACATTTAACTAAAATTATTTATTTTATTGTTAAAAATCGGCACCGAAAAAAAACTGACGGTTTAGCCCCGGTCTCCCCTATGTATGTTGTGGTGAGATATGAACATTTAACAAGTACAAACATTATATAGACAACTTTCTAGGCAATATTTAACGACATCTATTAGTGCAATGAATAAAAATGTAAAAAAATGACTAATCTAAAGAACTATTAACTCTTTGTACCCAACGGTTTTACTTTGAAATCCTTTTGCTTCAAAGTCTCGATTTTAACTACAATAATTTTACTTTAAAAAAAAAAAAAAATTTTTTTTAAATTATTTGAAAATAAATATACTGGCATTCAAAGAGCTAAATTTTTTCAGTCAAATAAATATTTAAAAATTTAAATTTAATGATTAGATATTAAACTTGCTGGACAAATAGCGTAAAGTTTTTGAGTCCGTGTGTATAAAAATTACATTAAAATTTTCTTAAAATCAGATTTTCAAGACTTTTTATGAGTCTACAGCCCAATTCAGTAATAAATTATTAGATAATTTGTCTGTATTGTAAATTATATAAATTATTAGCTAATTAATCTGTATTATATCTATACTAATTTGCCCAAATTCCAGATATTGAAATTTTTGGAGAACGCGATTTGACGGCTTAACTCTTCGTGCGCCTAGTTGGGTTTGAGAGACCCATTAGTGTGCTTTTGAAGAAACTAACTTTGTAATCGAGAACGCTGGCGGCCTGAGTATTTTAAGTTGCTGCTGTTTATCTATCGTGCGCGCACCATTTTATAAGTTCATGAAAACATAAAATAAATAATATTTTCGATAAAAAATTTATATTATAATTATACCAGAATATATTTTTTTCAAATTTTTGGGTCTGTTAGACCCGACCAGGCGCACCACGTTAAAAAATTCACCAGGCGCACGGAAGATTAATAATATCGTATACTTTTTAGAGCGAAATAAGAGTCTAGAGGTAAAAGTAAAATTAAAGAAGAAGAAAAAGAAGAAGCATAGCAAAGCGCATGCGACACTCACGGTGGACATTGGATGCGAGTAAGTTGTAGTGTTGGGTTGGTATGGGCGTGCTAGGGAGGACCTGCAAAATAACCTGCGGCGGCAACGGGGCCCTGTGACCTTGGGGACCATTTGATCGGTCCTGCGCACGAGGCCCCGTGCAGGTCTCCTGTCTGCAGAGTGTTTCGCTCAGCGCAATGTTACAACTGTTGGAAAATCGTTGGTGCGCGTCGGCACCGTTGCTGATTGCTGTACCGTTCCCGTCGCCGCCACCGGTGCAGCTGGTCGATATCGTCATCGTGGTGGTTGTCGTCGTCGTCGCCGCTGTTGCCCCAGTGGAATTCATGGCCGCCGTCATCGTGTTGGTCGTCGGGGTGCTCGTTGCCGACCCGTTATTCGCAGAAGTCACGTCCGTCTTCGTCTCGACGACCACCTGCGTTCCCTCGCCAATACTGCCCTGATTATTCGCAACCACAAACGCGGAATTCTCCTCCTTGGTGATGCTCATATAGTAGCAAGTGTCGGTCTTCTTCATTATATGCCGTGGCCCTGCGCATAGAAATACACGATTGGCATATGAATGTGTGGCAGTCTTTCATTCCATATTTATAAAGAACTACTCGAACTAATTTGAACGCTTTATTTCTCTATTATCTTTTTTTATTTCTAATTATTACAATATGTTCTTAACTTCTCTTATTCATTTTTCAGGATACTAGGGTAACTCCAGTACTTACGCCGCGCGAGGATTTACGCCGCAGAAGTAAAAAAGAAATAGAAGGAATAAAGATATACTTGCTCGCAATCACACTGTTACGTGCTTTTATGTTATATTAGTATTGTGTTGTAATTTTAGTTTTTTACTGTTAATATTAACGAAACCGTCGTGAGTTGAATCGATTTCTCACCGTAGTAAGTAGCGCGATCATATATTACGACTTACGTAAAATGATTACTGTAGGGAATGCAAAAGGTTTAATTGTTATTTTATGATACATAAGTGTAGAGGGATAATAAAGGATGGAATACAGCAAAATACAAGTGCATAGCTCTTGTATTCGTTTAGCTTGATATTTTATATATCCCACCTGTTTAGGATATACGCATTATATAGGCAGGATATAGGCATTTTTAGCGTGTGGGATTTATGCCATAGTACAAGCACTCCGTAAAAATCAAAATCTTCTGTGTATTCTTTATTTGGATCGTATAACAATAAATTTTAATGCATCTATCGTTCTTCTATTTTCTTCTTAAAATCTTTCAGTTTTATAATTTGTTTATTATTCTTACACCTTAATAAACTTTTTACACACATTTTATAACTTATTATGACATTTTATTGCCTTATTTATAAACATTATTTGTAATTTTTTATAAGGCGTATATTTTACTCATGAATGTCATATATCTCACCCTTATGGGATATATAGCAAAACTGCAAGGGTTTCTAAAAGTTTTTTTTATTAATTACGAAGAATGAATATTTCATATTTCTATTGTTTTTATAGTGGTAGACATCAGTATAAAATTTTTATTGGTATAATTCATTTGCCTTAAACATAGTAAATAGTACTCGATAAATTAAATTTTCCTTAGCTGCGGCTTATATACCGAAGTTATCCTATACATTATATATTTAATCAAAATAGATTGTATATAAATATATAAATAATTTTCACCGAAAGTTACCGATATATCATATAATTCAATAGTTCGACGAAAAATTATATGAAACAAAGAGCGAAACGTAAGATCTAAATTTTAAGATTACCTTTTATTGAAAATCTTTTTCTATTTATTTTTTATTTCATTCAAGAAATAAAGCGCTAAAAAAAGTGTGCCCAAGAGAAAAAGAAAGAGTCTAAAAGACACCGGTAATGTGTGTCGTGAGATTACCAGGATTCAACAGGATAGTATCCTCGTAAAATTCCGGAAGTTCTGCCGGTCTGACTGCAACAAGCGCAACTCCGTATTTCCGGTGACTGTGGAAAGACGCGTAGGTGAAGGATTTTCCCTCATACTCCCCGAAAAAGCGGGAGTCGCCGAGAATTATGTGATAAATCTCGTTGCCGGAACATTTACCATATAGTCTGTGCCATTCTTCCTGCGACTGTTGACCTTCTCTGTGATGAGAAAGATTTCAACTCAGAATTTTCCGGTCTTCATGCGATGTTTACACGATATAACATCACATACATTGCAGTTACGCAAAGTAAACGTAAAAATAGTATATTTTATTGCATATTATAGTTTGTTAAATGCATTATAGCATTTAATAAAATTTTGTAATTTTGTGTTTGTAATTTAGTAATAAATTTCGTCAAATATATTAAAAATTAAATTAATCATTATTTAATGCACGAAAAAAATTAGCTACCGTAGCAAATCTAGTCGTAAAATATGGACAACTAACATTTTTTGCTGCGAGAGCTATATTTTTAGCAATATAGTAAGAAAATCTTTTGCTACTGTTGCTAAAAATATAGCTCTTGCAGCAAAAAATGTTAGTTGTCCATATTTTACGACTCCTTTTTTTCCGTGTGTTTATATTAAAGATTAAAGATGAATAAATACTTGAATTGCAGCGACATCAGTTTACGTGGCTGTACACGCTACGAAATGTGCACGTGGTACTGTGCGGTTAAATTCGTAGCCTAATTATTGCTCTACAATACATTTTGCGCGGCACTTACTGTCCTCTGGATGTGTGTAGCAACAGGGTAACCAACGTCGATGCGCCGGGACACGTGCAATTATTTGCTAAAAGGGCGTATTTAAATTCATCTTCGCACACCACGTGCTCTGCGAACTTCACGTGGAGCTTGTTTTCCGGACGGAAGATTTGAACATATTGAGGAACGTTGGGCGCGAAATCTTTTACCGCCCATGATCTACAATTGCCAAATTTATTTTTTATGAGATTTAGAGGCGCTTTCAAGCTCTAATCGCGAGTAATGTAAAAATATTTATTTCTTTAGAATTCAGGATAATTCTGCTATCGTGTTAAAGGAGAAGAATTTAAAAAGATTTTAAGTCATAAACTATTTTCATTAATATTGTTTTGCTATTTCTCGAATAAAAATTTTATCACCTAAAACGTATTTCAGATTTCTCCTGTTTTATTTCTACGGATCTTTTACCAGTCTGGAATTTTTAATGAATTTGGAAGTAAAGGAAATTAAGTAATTAAGGTCAACAGAGCAACTTATCTTCAATTTAAACTCCGAAGTAAAACTTAAATAAAAAATGTCTGAGATTCGCAAAATGTCGAGGATAATATCAGGATTGCAATGTTTAATCTCCGTAACGTGAAACTTTATTATGGAAAAAGAGAAGTGACGAGAAGATTGAATTTACAATAGCGATTATGAGTTTCGTTAATGAAAATTTTAACTTAACGTTAGTTTTCACTGATTGCTGACCTGAGTATCGTGTGTTCGTCAGCAGCGGTTTTGTCAGCATAATTTCTCGCCGCCAGCACAAAACAAGCTTCCGCTTCGTTCATCCTGGCCCTCGCGAGATCGCCATCCTTCAAGCATGAGCCCTGGATGTAGATCACCCTTTGCGCCCAGATCGGCACTTGCAAGATCATCCGCATTGTGGTATCGAGTTCCATTGGTGACAAAAGCACCACATAATAATCCTACTCGTATTAAAATCATTTTCAATTATTAATGTTAAAAATCATAAAATGAGTGAAAGCAAAAGTGCGTAGAAAGATATACGGTGCAATTAACTCTTCATACTTTCAAAGCTATTACAATGTCTGTGAGATTTTATTAACGCGCAAGGAATATATTTAATCGTGCATATCTTCAATTATTTCATATAAAAAATTAAACTCAAAACTGCTATTTTCAAAATAATTGTATTTTTTACCTTATTTAACAACTAATATTAATAATTTTCGTGTTGTACTAGTGATAAAAATTAAGCTCAATAATTTTTTAAAAATTAATTGCCTCTGCTGTTTTAACAACGATAAATTGAGAGCTTGAAAAAGAATTTTTACGAAATCACAAGTCGCTTAGTGCATAATGAAATATTCAAGGCACGTAATTTGTTCGTCGCCTAACCTGCAGCAAGGGATGGGCGTAAAACTCATTTAGAAAGTCCATAATGGTGTCGGCTTGCAGTGTCGTACTGCAAACTACCACGTGCTTCTCGCTTTGCGCTCTGTGCGACGAATACGAGCCGCCCAGTTTCTGTCGCTCCATCCACGTGAAAGCTAACTGTTCGAACTGTAATCAATATGAGATTATGCAATGATTATGCAATCGACTAATATAACTGTTTGTATAAATCACAATAAGTTAAAATGAGCACAATGATTGCATTATTCTATCCGAATTTATGAGATTAATAGACAAATATTCATGAAAATATTATTTTGCTTTAATAAAAACAAAAGTATACAATTGATATATTAAAAAATACGTATATTTATAGAAACTATTTACTTTGATAATATTGAAGAAAAGCATAGAAAAAAATCTTTATTTTTTATTTTTTTCAAACTCAAACTTTATCGTAAAATTTATCCCTAAAACATAAAATTATATTTTATATTTCAGATATAAATTTGACATGTATAGAATACAAATGTGTTATAAATCTTATGTTTTTTTTTTGTACAATTTCTTTGTATTATATAAAATTAAATTACTTTAAATAGATTTTACACATATATTGATGTCTGTACACATATATTGATAATTATTAAAATTATTAAAATTTGTATATTATAAACGTAAAATTTTTGTATAAAGATTTATATAAAAACACTTTTATAAACGTAAAATTTTTTCTTTAACAAATGCAAAAATATTTATTATAATTTTAATATCTTGCACGTATAAGCGCCTCAGTGTAGTAGTGTACATATTATCGCACCTCACAATTTTATGCACTTTTAATTGCAAATTTTTAATTGCCCTTATTACACTGAAAAAAAGGTTTTAGTTATAATAACCAAGGCTTGGTAAAATAGTTTCAACTAAAGGTTTTAGTGAATATGACAAAATATTTGGTTAATGTTAACCAAATTTGTTAACATTAACCAAATTTTTTGTCATAATCACTAAACCCTTTAGTTAAAACTATTTCACCAAAAAAGTCTTGGTTATTATAACTAAAACCTTTTTTCAGTGTAAATTTCGCCACTTAAGACCTAATAGGACAAGATTGCTTCACTTCTGCAAAGATACGGGCTCTCACGTTGAATTATTTTTGTCTATGCTATCTCGATAGTAATGCGACTCCATCGTCCAAAATCGAATTTAATCGAATGCGGAAATGCAAGGGACAGACTCGAAGAGAAGGGGGGTTGACACATCGTGTTAACCCATACAAATTGGCACGTATCTCGTGTGCGATTGGCAGGCAATCTGACAGACAAATTACAGCGATCGACGAGCGCTTTCCGTGTTGAGCGCTGCGCAATCAGTCGACGTCGACAGACAATGAGTAGACACGAGTTGTTCTTGTTGCTTTGTGCAATTAAGTAATATTTTTTGTCCGATCTAATTCTCATTAAGCGCTAAATCAATTCAAGAATTAATCGTTAAATCGGCATTGAATATTTACTTTTTTGTAAGATTATTTTACATTTCTCTTTTTCACATCATATACTTCCATAAACTTTAAAAAATTTTAAATATCACTTAACTTTTAAATTCGTAATAGGATGGCTATGAGAGTCAAACGCAGTTGTCTGTGCGTAGATGATCAGAATCACTGATTTATTTCAAATCCATTTCAAATGAACTACAATTGAACGTTTCAGCTCATAGATTGAGCCATCTTCAGCGATATCAAATGACGAATAAAATTAAAATATTGCACAGTTCTCCATTCCAAAGTGGTAAGTTTCCTGCTTGAAGATTTCAAGAAACGACATTGAAAAAGACTACTAGATCCATATCTGTAAAAATAGTTCCCTTATTACACCAAGTAT